GGGCTCTGTCCTCGGCATCCAGCATCACGGTCGCCCGGGCCCAGGAAGCCCACCACCGCGTCAGGCTTCTTGGGCTGCAGCCGTTTTGCTTGGGTAGAGCGAGCGGTGGCGGCGACCTTAAGGTTGCAACGTGATGTTGTGGCCGTCCGCGATCCGAGGCGGGCGGAGCCGGTGAGATAGACCGACAGGCATACAGGCGGGCATAATGAAGGCACCTCCCAGAGGCTGCCCGTGGGACCGTGCCAAACGCACCGCCATCCGTCTCGTCGGCGAGCGGACGGCGGACCTCGTGGCGCCCCAGGCGAGGACGGTGGGGAATGTCGCGCGATATGACCCCGCACTACACCGCGAGAGGGAGGGCGATGAAAACGGTAACGCGTAAACAGATAGGCAGGCAGATAGACAGACAGACAGAACAGACAGGCAGACAGACAGACAGACGGACAGACAGACAGACAGACAGACGGATATACTGATATGGACAGAGGTTCGCAGTGGCCGACTCGTGTCCTCGTCGCGGGCCGAGGTGTCCGTAGGGCAGGCGTGCCATACGAGCCGCCGCTCGACTCGCTCCACGGGATGCGGGAAATGGCTCAGGAAGGGGATCGGTTCCCGGTGTTATCGGGGAGGTTTTTGCGCGAACATAAAGGGCTGTCGCTGCCAGTCAGGGCTCGCAGCAGACATCACGCAGATGAAGGCAGGAGAAAGAAGGAGAGAGAGAGAGAGAGAGATGAGAGGAGAGGGAGGAGGAGAGAGGAGAGAGGAGAGGAGAGAGAGAGAGCGAAGATGAGAGAGGAGCGAGAGAGGAGAAGAGGAGGGAGGAGGAGAGAGGGAGAGAGAGGAGAGAGGAGAGAGAGAGAGAGGAGAGAGAGAGGAGAGAGAGAGAGAGAGAGAGCGCCGGCGCCGGAAGGAGCCTTGGCCTCCACCACCTGATCGTGAAATTCTAGGTCAACGGCAGAGTTAAGCAGCGAGAGTTCAACGTGCCGCGGCGCAAGAAGCCACTCCATCCAAGAGCAAATAGCGAGCGTCTAAGGCGATTCGAACCCACACCGCCACCGGGGGCGGGGGGTGGATTGGAAGGCTCTAACCAACTGTACTATCGTCACGGACAACGGACGGTGGTGGACGAACCTCTGTGCGGTATGCCGCCATTGGGTCTGCGCGACACACTCCCCCAGAGATGCCATAGCACGGCAGTGTGTGTGTCATTGGGGCTTTACGACGCACTCAGCTGCTGAGGCTATATGGCGTCGCCTGCCTCTCACCCTGGCAGGAAGGGCGGGCACCGCGGGGAATCGAACCCCGTACCTCTGGTTTCCAGACGCGCAGTGGTTAACTCAGACGCGTTATGTGTGTGATTGGGGCTTTACGACGCACTCGGCTGCTGGGGCTATATGGCGTCACCTGCCTCTCACTCTGGCAGGAAGGGCGGGCACCGCGGGGAATCGAACCCCGCGCCTCTGGTTTCCAGACGCGCAGTGGTTAACTCAGACGCGTTAACGACTACACTACCGGCACCCCATAGCACGCAGTTAAGAGCTATTCGAGTCACATTTAGCCTATGGTAACACCGGTAAACTCTTCCTGGTATTGACGCCAACTACACCTGACGGATGTAAGGCCACAAATGTGCTGTTTTGTGTCTAATTGATTACGAAGACATGATTAAAACGTCGTCCCAGCAGATGAACTGTAACACGCGAAGAATGCAATGAGAGCGTCCGCCTATCACTTCCATTTTTCTACTGAGGAATGCTATTTTTCTCGAAGACTGTTTGGAATTTATAGCCAGAGGGCGTGGTCACAAGGGACAACCAAGCAAAATGACCAAAGCAGTCGAAGCGCCCCTTAATAAAAAAAAAAAACATCAGGAAGCGCCGAGTCGGATGGCACTAATGCTCGTGTGATGGCGTCCTCTGTCTTGATACGCCGGTGGAATGTAAAGGACGCTGCAAACGTGATCCCAACGCCTTGAACGCAAACCTTAGACCGATATCACAGCGCCTCCTGTCCACCTCCCTTCCTAGCGAAAGCCAGGAGGCGAACCGCGATGGGGACTGTGTTCGAAAGGCACCGACTCTGCACCGTCGGGAGGCTGGCGCGCCGACGCACGGTAGCCACGGCGCACCGGCGCACGGCTGCCACGGCGCGCCGGCGCACAGCAGCCACGGCGCACCGGCGCACGGCTGCCACGGCGCGCCGACGCACGGCAGCCACGGCGCACCGGCGCACGGCTGCCACGGCGCGCCGGCGCACAGCAGCCACGACAGCGTCCTACTCCACCGCCTGACGGCCCACTCATCGGAAGGACGGGGGAGGTCCACCGTCAGCGGTCTGGCGCTGCGGTCGATGGCGGGGTGGGCGGCGCCGTATCGGAACAGAGGAATGGGTGCGTCATTGACTGCGAGCCGTCATGAGCCATGAGGCTGCTCTGGCCACGTCGTCACATAACGCGACGATGCCCGGCATTTGGTAGTGAATGTATCAGGCAGAGGCCGGCGGCCTGCGGAGACGCCGGGGAGCCCACGACGTCGGCCATGGGGACGCGAGAGACCGGGCTGGAGACCGACGGTGGCAGGAAACCGGGCTGGAGACCGGCAGTGGCAGGAGACCGACGGTGGCAGGAGACCGGGCTGGAGACCGGAGGTGGCAAGATACAGACAGGAGACGGCTGTGGGCGACGCATCGAGTTGGTCCACGCCGCGGCCGTTCTTGGACGGCAGCCAGCCGGAGCGGCCAGCCGGAGCGGCCGGCGGCGCGGCCAACAGTCAGCCGACCGAGATGGCCGCTGCCGTCAGGCCGCCGTGCCTGAAGCTGCCGTGACTTCAGTGCGTTCGCGGTGTGAGGAAGGATTACCAGAGGGTGAGAAGTCTAGCTCCCGACGAGCCCGTTGAGTGGCATTTGAGCTGGTCCATTAAGGATGGGAGTGGCACTACGGCGCATGCCACCAGTCCATTGGTTTGTGTATTCAATACACGGGCGTCTGAAAGATTTTGTCCCACTTTTTGGGGACGCATGATTGGGGATGAGGTTTGAACTGTCCTTTGTAATCGGAAAATAGCGGTCCTGTTTCGTACAGAACCAGCATCAATGTCGTGGCGTGAAGAGTCCAGATTTAAAATCCTGCACACCAACAATTACTTTGCTTTCCGGAAGTGAGAACTGCACTCAGTAGCGCAAGCGCCAAAACGTCGCAACCCATGACACTCCCATTACATAAAAACTTTGTGGGCACGGGCTTATAGAAGAATTAAAGCGAGATGCTAATATTTAATATCACGGCTGGAGTATTTGTTCCCAGAAGGCTTAAAGAGAATGTCCCACCTCTGGGGCATGTTTCACAACCATATTTTAGCGGAGCCTTGGTACTAGCTACGTCTAATAATAGCAGTGGGTGGTGTCATTGCAGCACCGTCAAGACGCAGTAAGGATTTGTATTTTAATTATTTTAGTCTAAACTAACCTGTCATGTAACATGTAATGTAACAAGTCATGTAACAGCGCTACGCTTTTTCATTACAGCCGCGACCCACCGTCGTCATGACAACGAACGTGCGCACCTCTACTGGTCGAATAAAAGAACGTCTGTGATTAGCCCAGTGGGCAAGGGCCTGTTACCGAAAAGTTTGCCGGTTGGGATTTCAACCAGTTGCGTCACATGGATCATGTGATACTCCCATTCCCAAAGTCAAAGCGCGCCTCGAAAAAAGCTAATTTGGTAGCCGTCATTAGGAAAAAATTATAGCTGCAGTATAACAATGAGTTGAATTCGCGGAATAACAGCTTCATATCCGCATATCAGTTTATCTAAAGGGTGCTCCAAGCTTTCATAGCATTTCTTACACAAGCATATTGACACATAATTGTGTTGCAAACATTACGGAACGCACATGTTCGAAAGAGAAGAGGAGATTAAATGTTTTTCTTCCACAGTAATGGGCAGGGAGTCAAATGAGATTTCTCCCGCGGGGTCTCCGCGTCAAATCGAATTCCTGAGCAATTCAGAAGGGTTTTGAAAACACTGTTACTGCTGATCAAATTGTGCAAGTCTGATGTAACAAGAACTGAACAGTACAAAAAGGTAGGGAACTTCTTTTAGCACTAATACACCAGACGAGGACGACAATCGGATCTATTATTCCACTTATAGGTTTACGGGTTTACACTTGTAGGTTTAGGTAGGTTGTAGGTTTACAAACACCGGGCGGTCGAAGCTTTTCTTCCAGTTGCACACAGTGTATTATTCGTCTTGAGCTAACTTATGATGTTTCATCATCTCAAGCGTTGTCTCCACAAATTATGAACCTAACGTTTCTCCGGAATGATATGTTCCGGAACAAAACATTCCATTCCAGAACATGTCCGCCGCTTCAACTCAAGAAGCAGGCTTTTGAGGGGCTAGTGGAAACTGTAACCGTACCAGATGCTAGGGAATTCAGTGCATTCTCGGTATCGAATTAAAATAAATCAGCCAAGCTTCATTCAACCCGCTTCTTGCAGCATGGGCAAGCCAACATTCCGCCGAGTCCGGTGCCGCGAGCACGCTGTCGGCGCTGGCCCCGGCTCTGAAGCGCTGGTCATGCGAGCTCGGCCGCAGATACGGAAATGTCACCATCCACTGCCAAGGGGCGGGGCATTCCAAAACGGGTACTAGATGACGCCGTGTGTCTATTAAGGGGAGTATCCTACGTTTTGTAGTTTTAATTTATAGTCAAACTAGAAGCGTCTCATATGATTGGTAATGCCAGTTTTCTCGAAATCCTTCTGCGCAGCCCAGAATTTCAACTTAAAGTAGCCGCTTCTGTGGGAGAAATCTCATTGGGTTTCCTGCTCCCTATTATCAAAGTAAGGCATGCAATTTGCCTTGTTTTTTCCAACGGGTGTGCTTTGCAATGTTAGCAGCACCCTAAGTTGTCAAATGCTTGTGTAATAAATGCTGCGAAAGCTCGAAACACCATTTAGAGAAAAAAGTGTTCAAACATGAGGCTGCTATCCCACGAATTCAACGAAACATTGCACAACTGCTTTGGTATCTTTTTTGAAGAGCACTGTGAATTTGGAAAGCTTAGCATCACGTGATCTACAGTAGCGCCATGGCTCAAACTTCAACCAATGCGCTTCTCGGTAACTGGTTCTTGCCGCCCGCTGTCTATCATAAACATGCATTTGTGCTGATGTGATTCACACCGGTAGGGGGCCACATTTAAGCCCACAACCTCGCGATGTGCAGGCTCTAACAGCTCAAAAGTGGTACCCCTAACCCGTATCAGCTGACAACGACCTTCAGATTCTGCCGTCGTCAGGGTAACGGCGGTTGCTGTGACGTTGGCGATCGCAATAGCTGCAGTCGTCGCCGACTCTGAATACGCTCTGGGGTCATCAAGAAAGGAGGAAGTGTGATGCTCTTACAAAGCGTTATCGGCGTAATTTGGACTCATAAGTTTTTAAGATTGACATCCCTATCAAACCTTGATAGTACTGCAGTGGCACTACCCAGCGATACTGGTAGGCGTAGATAGTTCTGAGGTTTAGACAAAGTATGCTTTTGAAATATGTCCCAAAGTTGGGTACTTCCTTTGAACATCACGCCTATTATAATTCCTGTTGACCTTCAACATGACTGCTGTATGAAATATCGCGGCGTATGTTCTCGTTTTCAGATCTGGCCGACAGCATGGCGTCTCCGAAGACGTTCGGCCTGGTCGACTACTGCGTGTTCGGCAGCGTGCTGATGTCCTCGCTGCTGATTGGCGCGTACCACGCCTTCCGCGGCAAACAGACCAACGCTGAGATGCTGCTTGGCGGCAGGAACATGGCCATCCTGCCCGTGGCCATTTCCATCATGGCCAGCTTTCTCTCAGCCATCTTGATTTTGGGTAAACTGCTGACTGTGCGCCTGTTGTGCTGGTGGTAAGCACTTGTTCGTACCGTACCGAAAGCTTTTTCGAACCACCTTTCAATTCAAATTAGCTTGTTGGAGGACAATCTGTTCATCTTTATGGGTGGTTATAGCTTGTGTTACATGGTTCATTATATGATGGTGTATTTTTGCTATGCATTGCTGTCATTTATTCACATTTGCGTGTTGTGCTCAACATTTATGTATTTGCTTTTTTACTGACGTAAATAAGCTATTTTATCGATTTCTCACCCAAGATGTTGTCATGTTTCTTTAAGGCGTTCTTACGCTCCCATCATTGGAAGGTCTCGAGCGCGGTGCACCTCCTCTCGCCGTCTTTTTTAAATTAGGGTTCTTGTTATAACTAGGATTTACCGCGCATTTTTCAGTAAGGTAGTTATTTTTAACCAACTACAGAAATGTAACTGCCACAGTTGCATCAAACGTTGAAATTAAGCGTACAACGCTATTTTCAACGAATGGTGATCTGGCTAAATGTCAGTGTCAAGGAATGACACTTCATCAAGGCATCAAACCCGTCATCTCACGAAGAACCCCTGTTAATTCCCTATGTCACAGTGACAATTTTTTAGATAGCAGCAGGGTTGTAACAATGCATCCGACAATCATATCCGGCGTGAATTGGCGTCAACTTGTGCGCCGTATCACAGCGAGACATTGTCTGGCAATGTAAAATACAGATTGAATATTAAGGACTACTGCACCTGGAAAGAAAGTGGGAAGCAAGAATATTGCGTGAAGAATTGCCAAAGAAACGCTGGAACGCACGGTTGAAACCGTTGGTGAAAGCCGCGGCAAGATCAGAAGTGGTCGTCGCTAATATCGAGGAAGGCGATTGTGACAGGCCTAAAGCGTCTCGAGGCATGCATCACTATCCGCGCCGCCCGTTCCGATCATAAGCTGGCTGATGTTCAGTAATGGAATGTTGCGCATGGCGCCATTGGTTGTATTTGACGGCGTGAAATCTACCCTTCCACGTGTTAATGTGAAAAATTGCCGGGAACTACCGTCGTTCTCGAAGGCGTTGTGCTTCGCTGTGTCTGTCTGAAAGGCACACAAATCTCAGCAGCATCTTGCTTCAAAAGCTACAAAAACAACCACATTCCTTGGAAACATCGAATGTAATTACATCACTCCCAAGGCAAATTTCCGCTCTTTCTGCACAAATCACCCCGTGCGAGATTGTTATCATTAACATCATAAGACATCGTCTTTTACAGTACAGCTGACACAACAGACGTATAAAAATTTCACGAAGTTTTCGTCAAATGCGGTTTGCTTTTTACTTTAAGGGGCTTTACGACGCGCTCACCTGCTGAGGCTATATGGCTGTTTCTTACTACGAAATATGGGAAAACCATGCCAAAACATGCGGATTTGTCACGGCAGTGTAACAATACTGTACCGAACAGCTCGTTTTCTATCAGCACGTCAACTTTACACGTTCGTGCCACACTGTAGCACCAACGGGTACTTCGGTGAACACTGTGGGACGGGTGCGGACGGACGGATCCCATTATTTTGTAAAATTAAGGGATGTCACTACGGCATCTTTCAGTAATAAACTGGCAGGAAGTTCTGCAAATAAAAACCGCAGTAGGCTTCTTCACCAGAAATTTCGTATGAAGTTTGCTTCATATATGTATTGCGTAGCGTCTATCGCATAAATCACTATACATGTACCAAGATGCCTCTAGTGAGTCATTTCAACGATCGAGAACCCATTTTCATACTCAACATTCAGGATATGGATGTTCTTACAGCGTGGCGCTTGACTGTTAACCCTAACAGACATCAACTGTTATTGTGATGCTTCTGACCACCACAACAACACAGGCTCATTGTGCTCTCGAAAAAGCGGGTCAAACGACACGTGCCAATGGCCACGCGGTCTCGTGGGCAGGTTCACCTGCCGAGGTCTACGCGAACGGCGCGGAGTACTGGGTGGTGGCGCTGGCGTTCGTCGTGGTTCCGCCGTTGGTGGCCCTGCTCTACCTGCCCATCTTCTACCGATGCGGCCTGACATCCGTCAACGAGTACCTGCAGCTCAGGTACGCTGCGCGACGCCGGGAGTGCCGGTTCAGTCACGGACAGCGACGTAACACTTCCCCGTTGTTACGATGCCACCTGCACCACATGTCTAGCGCCCGTCGGTTGCATGTTCCAGGTTTGAAAGTCGCGTCCTGCGGATATCTTGCGTGCTGGGCTACCTGGTGCAGACGTCGCTGTACATGGCCATCGTTCTGTACGCGCCAAGTCTAGCCCTGAGCTCTACAACCGGTCTGAGCCTGGAGACCAGCATCATCTGCACGGCAGTGGTGGCGACACTGAATGCCACTATGGTGAGCAGGGCGCATTGCCACTATTTATCTCACTCATGCATAGAGATGCACGCCTGCTGCTGCTGACGGCATGAATGCTGCTGCTGTTGACGAAAGCTTGAGGCGTGTCCCGACTAGACATTGATGATACTTGACATATATAGGGGAAGGAAAGCACGATGCACACGTTTCGATGTGCCTATTGAACTTTCTTCTAAAAAAACCTTCGGCTAGTTTAGCTTCTTCCCTATAGACAGAAGTCATGTCGCCCATTGTTCCACAACAGGACACGCAGCTTTTTGTGTGGTTAGGGTGACAAATATGGAAAACGTGACAAAATTGGTGGCTTAAGCCTACAGTCGGTCGATCAGGCGCCATTGCTCAATGTTTGACCCTGAGGGATTTAAGAAGGGAGACGCCACGCATGAACACTGGCTGACCGTCACTGGATGGAAGTCATCGAGGAGAGCAGAAATCCACAAGCATTGCCGTGCTAAAAGATGATGGATGTTCCCTTCACAGGGGGGCCTGAAAGGCGTGGTCTGGGCCAACGTACTACAGTCGGCTGTCATGGGAGCCGGCATGGTGGCCATCGTTGTCCAAGGCTCAATCAACGTGGGCGGTTTCAGGAATATTTTCTCCATCAACGCAGAGCACGGCAGGATGAGTGTATTCAACTTCAATATGAGTCCCTGGCAGAGGTAAACAGCGGTCCTCATCATGTGCATAGTTCGCACTTTTTAGTAGGTATAGCCTTTAATCTAATCTATAGCATACAACCATAAAGTAAACAGGACAATAACAAGAACGAATAAAACTAGAATAAGCAGTAATGATCCCATATAAGATACATATAGCATGTTGTCATATAACTATTGCTCAGTCTGGTGCGTAGAAAATGTGTCATTATCTCGGCCATGCTGCATCCGTTTCAGGCACAACTTTTGGAATCTGATTTTCGGCACGATGTTCATGTGGACTGGGCTTTTGGCCGTGAACCAGAGCTCGGTACAGCGCTACATCAGCCTACCGACATTGAAGGCGGGCAGAACGTGAGTTAGATTTGTAAGTTATTAAGTGCGTTTGTGAGGAAATTATGCAAATTATAATAGCCTTATTGCTCGTAGAAAAAACAGGGAAATTGAGACATAGATGTAGTAAAATTTCCGCAACATACCTTGATCGAAACGAATAGCAGAAGTAAATTCAAAATTGCCTGTCAAGGATCCAACTCGATTTTTCAGTCTTTTTTAAACAACAAGCCACAGTTTTACAGGTCACCAACACTCAGAGCACTAAACAAGGAGCAGTTGACAGCCATTACTACGATATATTGCATATCCAGCTAAGAAACAGAATGCGCGAAAAATAAGTGCACATGCAAACGAATTCAAGTAAACAGGTATCGTGCATCACGCCTCATTCAAACATGCAAGCGAGTTCGAGTAAAGAGGCATCATAGGTCACGCATCAATTATGCATGCAAACGATTTCAATTAAGCAGGCATCTCGCATCACGCGTTGGACATCCATTACACATGTAAATGATTTTATGCTAGTATGCATCACACATCAAGGCACATATCACGTTTGCATGATCGGGCACGATGAGTTATGGTTTGCGTTAGGTCGCCTTCGATTTATGAGAATGGATCCACTTATTTTCCTGGCTGGGTGGTCCTGTGCTTTCTAGATCACTTTGAACTCTAAACGGGGCATCGGGTCCAAACCTTCCTGGATTTCAGCCTGAGCGTGTTTTGCCAAAAATGTTCACAGAAAGGGGCATTCCCTGTTTTTTTACGTGATATGAGCCTTTATGGATGATGTGAGCGGGCTTAAAATCATTTATATGCATACATGATGCCCAACGCGTGATGCGCGAAGCCCGTTTAATTGAAATCGTTTGCATGCATCATTGATGCATAAGGTGTGTTGCATGTTTACTTGAGCTTGCTTGCATGTTTGAATGAAGAGTGATGTGTGATGCCTGTGAGCTTTAATTCGTTTTCATGTACACATTTTTCCTTACAATCCTGCAGTTCCTACATTTTAAACATTTGGTGGCATGGAAAGCACGTGGTATGTTTGACCACTGGAACGCTTTGCTCGGTGCATCACTGTTGGTCTGGAGTATATTTTCTTCCCTTCTTAGACCCATGTACGATATTGCAAATGTGTATGCTCATGGGACAATACCTGAAGATGAATGCAAGTGAAGCAATGTGGATGTCCTATTGTTCAAACAGCTTACAAGATCAATAATGCCCAGTGCATGTCAGATCAGTTTGAATCCGTATTACTTCGAGTACTGCCCAGAACCCAGACATCGAGGCCATGTGGTCGGCGGCACGAGATCCGGGTGGTATTGCGTTGGAAGCGTCTTCTGTCCGCGCTTGCTGCGCTACAGAATTAAAACTAAAGCAATTTAAACCGCGCCTCCGTGGGCACCTTATCCGTCTTTGTGAAAGAACTCATCCTCACTTTTTTCAAGATAAGACGTTCATTACAACGACAAACACAACACATTCAACATGGCGTTCAGTCTCCCACGTGCGTATGTGAGTGTGTGCGTGCGTGCGTGCGTGCGTGCGTACGTGTGTGTGTGTGTTTTGTTTGTTCTTTTTTACCTGTGTTTGCTGACATGGTACTCGACAGCGAAAAAGCCATCTGAGGATTGTGCCAAAGTACCAGACAAGTTATGCGTTGGATCTCCCCATCCCTTTTTAAATACTTCTAAACTGTTTTTAATCGACGCACGTTCGGCTCTTTCTGGAACTCTATTTTCAAATACGTCAGCAAGCAAGAAAACTCAGGTCTAGTCCCACATTTTGAGCCTGGTTACCTACGGTTCTTACTAAGGCTGTAATCAATATCTTAAGTCCGTTTATCTGTTGTAGACAAAACCCAGGCCATACTGATAACGGAAATATTTATCTCTATTTACGAGCAAGCTTTGTTTGAATATCTTTATGAAATTGTTACACAACTACGCAATGCCAAAACCAACGCATTATCGTTTCTGCCTCGCAAGAACAGAACGTGCAGGAACTGATATCGGATGGTACTACGGTATGAACAACGTATTTTTGTGATTAAGCAAATAGCGATTCCATAAAGAAGATATCTCCAACATGCCGCCTCCGTGGTCTTGGGGAAAGATGCTGGACTCGTAATCCAGCGGCACTGGGTACGGGTCCCAGAGTGGGCGCATTGTTTGACCCGACTGAAATGGAAAGGCCAGCTGGCAACCGGCCAACGAGGTTCAACCCAGACCCGAGGCGGCCGTGTCGCTGCATTGTGCGGCACGTAAAACCCTCCGAGTTCCTGTCTGGCCAAAGGGCGGAAGCAAAATTAGCTGTTAGACTGGACGGCACGCTTGGATGGTGGGTTCGGGGTACACGCAGCAAGCTACGATTAGCAGGCACTCTGAATCCGAAGTCACCCATACAAACCATTCGGAATATGCAAAATTTAATGTTTTTTTTCTAAAAAAGGTATGTCTTTAGCATTGAAGAAGCAAACAATTTGTAGCAATAAAGGCTGAAACTTCTGTCATACATGAACACATTCAGTCTGTGTCAAACATCTGGCCGTACGAATGGGATTTTCGCCGCTGGGCTTTTCATCTGCCCGGGAAGGCCTCGAGGCAGCGCTTCTTAGCATAGGAAATAATAAATGTACGGTGCCGTCTTATTACCTCTATTCGAGAAAGCATGTTTCCATTGTACCAGTTAAACAAATTATCCATAACCCGTGGCTCTCGTTTAACCCATTCTTTAACACAAGATGCTACATGCGTAGCATGGCTGGAAAACCATACGGCTTCACTAAACACATGCTCAGGTAATGGTTTATATATTACATTCTATCGAATAAGCGGTTGAAAAACATCTGCTCAGAAAAATGTTAATCTGGGCTTTGATTAGTCTCAGTTTTGATGTCCCACACATGATAAGTTTTTTTAAAAAAATATCTGATAGTTCAAGCCTTGCTACTTTCATCCAACCATCCGAAGATTTCGTTACGCGTCTGACCTGCGAGAGCTTGAAACCGTACACGAAAGCAGTTATATCAACCATTCGGCAGACCGTCGGCACCATATTGTTGAATAATCTTTGACCTTTGGATTTGGCATGGTTTATCGTTCCAGATACACTGATAAAGAAGCTTCTTTCAGCCTTCTTAACATAATCAGCCGGTGGGCTCGGGAGAGCAATAAATATATGAACCAGCTTCGAGAGTAAACGCGATTTGATAATGGCTATTCTACCAAAAGATGTAACATCTGTCGGTTCCATTATGAACTTTATCATTCTAGTCTATGCATTTTTTGCCCAGGCTCATTTCTGTGGTGTGGTTAGTGCAGGTATACGTGATGTCAAAAATCTTTATTTCAGCTACCCATTTGAAAATGAAAGCGGTTCGGCACTCATCAATGTTTAAAGAACCAGCTGACAAACAGGGCATTTTTCCACAGGCAGGCTCAAGCCTAAAAGTTTTAAAAATTCGGGAAGTTTAGTAACAGTTGCTCTAATAGCGTTACCTGAACTGTCTAAGAACAGCATTGTATGATCGGCGCCCTCACTGTGGGAATTTCCAGCCCTGACACAATCAGCACTCCGGTCATATGTTCTGACTTATTGATCTAGATCATACAAGCACTGACATATTGAATACGTAATCTGAAGCTGGATCATCTGCCTAATCACTCTGTGCAAATATATATCATCACCTAAGGTACCGTTCGGTAGCACACGCGAGTAGTTTGCATCATTTAGGTGCAACGTTTGAACCAACTTAACAAAATTAGCACCAAAATTATGCTGTGCTAGTGCCACACGCAAAAATAACCTAGAAATAGTCTCCATCATCACAGTCTCGATTAAAACGAAACAGTCTCAATCACTGACCACCAGTACCCGCATACCCCGACCTTTGTTTCAGCGCCTGCCTGCTGAATGCGCCGGCCATAATCCTGTACAACTCCCTGGCCTGCCTGTGCGGTCTGGCCATCTTCGCGACGTACGCCGACTGTGACCCGCTCCGGATGGGCCTTATCGAGAGGAAGGACCAGGTGCGGCGCCCCTCTTGATCTGTGAGAGAAAGGGGCATGGCCGCTTCCTCCGTGTTCCAGTGGCCTGTTCGAGGCGTGAACAGCGGTGCCCCCCAAAAAATGATGAAAAAATAATGTTCATAATGCAAACCCCCAAAGATATATTTTGTACGAAAACGAGCAGGCTGAAAATGTTGAGGTGCTTATGGTATCAATTGCCTGCTCATTCACGCACACTCTTGTGAGTCGCGTCCTTTGTGACCGCATGAACCGCAGGTAATGCAACATCATGTGGCAAATGCAGGGCTAGTTTACAGTTGATAAACCCACATAGCATCGCATTACATTCATGCCCACCACAATAACTACATTTATAGTGCACCCTACCGTGGAGTTGGTAACAGCCGCAGTTGCAATGTCCAAATGACATTTTGTTCTTCATAACTACAAAGAGCACACTGTTCCTGTTCTAGCTCGTGCCCTACTTCGTGCTGGACCAGATGTCGTACCTCATGGGCCTGCCGGGCCTCTTTGTCGCCTGCATCATATCTGGAGCGCTCAGTGTCATCTCCTCTGGCCTCAACTCGCTGGCAGCCATCACCTGGCAGGATTTCCTCTACCACGCGAACTACTTCCAGAAAATGTCTCCAGCGACACAGTGCTGGATAACCAGAATGATCAGTAAGCTCTGGATAGTTGGAGTGCAGTGAAAGCACCTTTCTAAGCTATGCATTTTGACCTGTGTCGACGAGCAGGCAATGCATTTTGGAGGCATTCCCGGTTCGAAAGTTAGAGATTTTCTGCCTGCGATTTCAGTGCTCGGTGATGCGAGACAAAGAAGCTCGTGCATGTTCCGCAGTACTATGTTTTCCAATAGGTGTGTGCTTTCAACGCTAGTCGCAACACGTTAAATATCTTCAATAAGCGTTCAACACGTGTTGTACTTGTACTGAAGTGGCATTGCACCGCCTCCTGTGTGATGGGGCGTGGAATCAACAGAACAACCCTAACGCCGCCACTTCGTTACAGGTTTGCTGTATGGCTGCCTGACGTTGGCGATGGGTTTCCTGGCCAGCCAGCTCGGGGGAGTGCTGCAGGCCTCGCTGGCCGTCACTGGGGCCGTTAGTGGACCAATTTTGGGCGTCTTCACGCTGGGAATCCTGGTACCTTTTGCGAACGCCAAGGTATGTCTGGTGGAAAAGGATGAACAATGAACCTTGGCAGCATGCCTTTCCCTTACCCTGCCGTTCAGCAGCCAGCCTGTCCCTGATTTTCAGTTCACCTGTCGACATTTCCTTTTTCGGAGCACTCGGATTAATGAGCGTTAAACGAGTGGCAAGCTCACTTAACAATACTCCCTTTACCCTCCGGGCATGATATACACGTTTTAGAAACACTCCAGACCTGTGTAAGGCATGAACTTGAGCTCTTTGTCTGCTTCGACGCCTCAGCCTTGAGATCGACCGTCATGCGCACAAGAGGAGTTCCCAGTGAGAATCAAACGGCTGTCGTGAGTGACTGTTTAGAGAATATGACACAGGGATGACAGTTTGCCATTGCACACTAGCGGCGGGACAAGGACAAGACCGAGCGCACAAGACCTTGTGGGATGGAGCACGGCCCTGACGGTCTGCACTAACCTTATGGGATGGAGCATGGCCCTGACGGTCTGCACTAACCTTGTGGGATGGAGCACGGCCCTGACGGTCTGCACTAACCTTGTGGGATGGAGCACGGCCCTGACGGTCTGCACTAACCTTGTGGGATGGAGCACAGCCCTGACGGTCTGCACTAACCTTGTGGGATGGAGCACGGCCCTGACGGTCTGCACTAACCTCGTGGGATGGAGCACGGCCCTGACGGTCTGCATTAACCTTGCGGTTCGTCCTTGGACGCTTGTGGTCAATCCGATTCAGGATCAGCATCGATCGATGACTCGCGCGAGATGTTGGCCGATTCTTGCTTCGAGGTTTTATGACTGCATTTTCTACTGAGGCCATTTCGCGCTGATTGAGCTTGCTTCGAAGCAATGCACATTACACGACTTAAGAGGCGAAATTGGATCGACTCTTCCCAGGTGGTTCGGGGCTGGGTAGACGCCAGTAACATTTTTGCTGGCTCTCCTCACAACAAAATGATAGGAGTAAGTGGCCTACAAGAATTCACCATACCCTGTAATAACCATAAACAACAAGCGCCGATGAGAAACACATTGCCGACAGCACCATCAAATTTGAAAAAAAGTTATCCAAAACTCAGGATAGAGCAGTTACACATTACCATCCAACTGACGTCAGCCAGATCACCAGCCAACGCAGTACTGCAGCTCTCTGCATGACAGTGCTCAATCGATTCTGGGAGAGGCTAACCCGAAACGGTATCGACGATGTCCGCCTCCACTGGCTTCAGGGAAACTACGCGTCTCCCACACATCTCGGCTCGCTCTGGGATGGCTTCACGACTCCTTCGGGGTCGTGTGATCTGCACGGATGCGGCAGAGAACGACTCCCTGGCCTGCGCGCTCCCCGGATCTGACGCCCTTTCCTCTGGGGAGGTCTGAAGGATGCGGTAGAGGACGACTCCCTGGCCTGCGCGCTCCCCGGATCTGACGCCCTTTCCTCTGGGGATGTCTGAAAGACCCAAGTGTGCCAGGAGTTACCTATCAGTATTACATGCCTGGAAATCCGGCGGTGTGCAAATCCAATCCAGCTTGACACGTGCGTCCGAGCCTTGAGACAGGCCCAGCAGCGGGCACCCTTCAGAGCCGCCATTTTCTTCAAAGTCGTGACTGACTCACGTATCCGTGAGCTGTATGTGATGATGATAGTTACTCAACATAATAACTGAAAACACCATAAAAGGTTGTGACGTAAGGTTGCCTACCAAAAAATATGCTTTAAAGAATGAGCCAGTTGTGCTCGGGAGATAGGAAACATCCATGGCGTGACCTGATCGAGCGTGAAAACGTCTTATTTTTGGGGGGGATGGCTAATTTAAAGCTCTGTCGCTTATTCTCCACTTTTTAAAACTATACAAGTAAAGAAAAACGTTAAAATGGGCTAATGCTGTGCATACCTTGGGTTACCTCCAATATATATCATGAGGTCGACGTATAGATAATGACCGCAGCGTACTCGCGGTCAGACGAGGTGTTGCAGGACGCGGGTAAGGTGAGGGCCCAGGAAAAGACGGCGGACAAAATCCCCCGTATTTTGGAGAGGTTCACGTGGGCAAGCTCAAGTCTCCATGGAGATAATTTCGCCTATTGTATATTGAAAGCCCTCTGAATCTTGGGTGGCGAGAAACGTAGAAAGCTTGACTACGGTTTCTTGCGAAGCGGTTATGGTGTCCGAGGTCCCAGAGCCGCTACTACTTCCACCATGAAAGACACTACAAGTGTGTGTGTGATCTTCGACAGGGTGCTGTCGCCGGGCTCAGTGACGGCTATGGCACTAAGCATCTGGGTAGTGATGGGCGCGTATGTGTCTGGAAAACACCCCGAGCCTCTGCCCACCTCTGTCACCGGATGCGACAACAATCTGACGTCACTAATGCCGTCAACCACGCCACTCGCAGCCAACACCAGCTCCCTGCCACTGGAGCGACAGGACGATGGGTAAGTATGGAGGAGCACAGTCTGGCCTGAAACAGGCGTTACATCGGTTGTGACGGGCTACGTCTGGGATCGAGCTACCCCGACCTCACTCTACCCATCCAGAGCCTTCTGTGGTTTCCGTTGTGTTGCTTTTTTGTTTGTGAAAACATCTGCCGAGATACGCTTGAATATTTTTCTTCAAAGGAAACGTTTCACAGTTGAACGCATTTAGGCAGGCGTCAGATATGATGAAATAGGCACGCTTGTAACCATGGTACACTCTTTAAGTGGAAAACTGCTCTAGGAGGCACAATTCTATGTCAAGCATATATGCTTCTCAACCCGTCATAGTTGATTACACCATCGTACCTTGCACAACATTAGTTAAGAGCCAATTGACGGCCGTCATATCTGGAAATCACGCCCACCAACGCCAGATACGAACGCCTTGACAATTATATTCTTCTTGGCCTTGATCCCCGCATGGCTTATGAATTGGCAGGATTTGAATGACGTTATTATGGCGTTTTAATGATGATGATTACGACTCTTTTTAAGTAACGTACGCAGTTGGCATGTTTGGGCTCGTTCAAGTCACTTACTCAGCGCATGTTCGCGAAAACAGTAATATAAAAAACAACTAATAAACCGCTTCTCGATATAAGAGGCTTTTTTAAGATGGGAGGCATTTACCTTAGCGACTGCTCACTAATTGTCTCGTCCTTCGGTTTCAGGTTTATAGACCAATACGTGTACGGTATTTCATACCAGCTGTACAATCTTCTCGGCTGCCTGATGTGCGTCATCGTAGGCTCTGTTGTCAGTCTGCTTACAGGTCAGTTCTAGTCACGACACAAACGACTTCGTGCTGCGAGGCAGAGGACGCGAAGGAAAATTTAACCATTCGGTTTCTGTTGCATAGTGGCATTCAGTATGTTTAAATTATCATCCGTAAACTATTTGGTTTTCATTTATTACGGTCAGGGAGTAGCCCAAAGCATGCTTTAGACACATATATGACACTATGTTGTTTATATGACACATATGACAATACATGACGCTATGCGATATTGTTTTGAATTTTAGGCTCGGTGACGGTTGGCGATAGCTTTTAGGGACAAAGTTGGGGTATGATATTGCAAGCACTTCATCTTTATGGAAAATTAAGTACACCGACATCATAATAAGCCAGAGCAGTCCGCTTTCAACTTAAGTGGTCCAAAGTTTGCTAAATAAAAGCCACAAATGATGTCATTGCTGCCTGGCAGTAACCCAGTCACTTACCGTTAATGCCTTCTTGTGCTGTCTTCGGGTGGCGATGTTAAGGAATCTTACTCAGCATGCGGTATGCATCTAGGACTTCAATATGAATATTCGTCCCATGCAAAAACGCTGTTAAAGAAATGCGCCACATGTCGCCCAATTCTTGAAATTCATTGACGCATACCAGTGATGTGTAGAAACCATGCTAAGATGGACGAACAAAATGCCGACTAGATTTGAACTAAATTTACCCATGCACGGTGATTCGCGTAAATCGACATTTTTCGGGTTTTAACCCTCAGAGGCTCTCGGTTAGCCGCCCTCCCAGACAAATGAGATTTCACGCTTGGTCGGGGTTGCTTACAACTGCCTACCGCGCGTGCAAGGGTTGCAGCGATGTCTCCGGAGCTCCCTTCAATTTCGTGCCGTTGAAGCCTCCAGTGAGATCTCTGGTTTCAACGAATTTGACCCAGTATGTATAACTGTGTGACTGGACTATGCGAATGGACTGGACTGCGTGACTGGACTGTGGGAATTTACGGTGTGAATGGCTGGGTGAACTGTGTGTGTAATTGCCTACAAAAAGCACTATTTCTTCAGTAGACTGAAAGTTCAAAGCAACTCCACAGTCTGTGTTTCTTAAGGATGATACTTACCCGGTTTGACTCACGGACCTTGAGCTGGGAGCAGAATCATAGCTGCCCACCAGAGTCAGATGTACTTGAGACAACATGAAGCTGACAGAAATGGTGATTTTTAATACGCCTGAAATTGAACAAACAAGCAACGAAGAACGCAGTCGTTGAGTTATTCGTGACAACCGCACAGAATGACCAGAATATCTTTGAGTTTACTATGACATTCAGCTTGGCTCAGTCACACAGCGATGTTGCTTTCGTTCAGCCTCCCGCACATTTGCACCGATAGTCATGCTACTTTTCGTATTGGTGCATTGAATTCCTGTTGCTGTGTTAATACGTTGGGAAGATGGGGAGTTAAGCGGTGCCACTGTTCTGTAGTGATACGGATATTCAGTTCCTGGTGTCAAGACTAACACCGATCCTTGATTTTCAGGATGCAACCGACAGGGTGTGAGCAAAACGCTGGTCAATTCTCTGACCTACACACTGCTGAACAGATTTAATCATCGCCAGACTGCCTGCTGCCCAGCCGGGCGTGACGGCCCGTCTGACCCCCAGGACATCGCAGAGAGCATCACGTTCCTGAAGCCCCCGCATATGAAGGCTGAGGCCGACTGTGCGCCGCCGGTCGGCAGCACTCGTCCATGATCGCTATTGGCACGGTCGGCCGCTCGGCAGGGAGGCTAGTTCCTGTGCCCGACTCGTCGGGGACTTACGACCCAAGCTCCACACACTGAAGTGGCGTCACAGATACTCGCCAATGAAGAGCGCCCTTAATTCCAAATGTGTACACCAGTAAAATCAACTGATTCAATCTCATGGAGGCATGTAACGCGCAGGAATGACGCACTTGAATCTCATTTCAAGGATCAATTATTGGCAAGTTATGTATAGAGGTTATATGTCGATCACACTATGCACATGCGATCGAAACCTGACCATCTCCGGGCATACGAGACCATAGTGAATCGACCGCTGCCATGCCTTGTTACGTCAACAACGATTTACTTGTAACAAACCCACCCAATGCGCTCTCCGCCAAGTATGGAGTAGGCTTGGGTCGTGACGTCATATGTAAGGAACGGCGTTACTCCTATGTGGGGGATGGGCTTCCATTGGCTAACGAGACTCAGGGCAGCAGTGAGGCCGACTTAAGGCTGACGGCGGCGACATGCTCGCGGTGACCCAGGCGTTGCGGCAAGGCTTCGGGCTGAGCCGGGGAATGAGGAAAGGGAGGGGGGAGGGGGGTAGTGTCCTCACCAGATTAGTATCGATTTAGGAAGCCTATGAACCTGAAGCAGTTCTGATGGGCCCGATTGGGGAGATGGTTTGGAGGAGTTTAGCTACTGTGGGTGAACTATTCCACTCGTCCAGGAATCGTCCCTTTGACTCTGGGGTAAAGTCCGGAAGGTGAAGTATGGTAGTTTTCGTCATGCTGGGCGCACTTGATGGTGGTCTTTTGCTTCGATGCCCATCAGCTCTCTATATTCAGAGCAGAACAACCGTCAAACGTTTATTTGTTGCGCGTGAAGAAACAGGTAGTTCGATTCATCCCTCCGTCCAGCCGGGGTTAGACTGTGTGACCCATGCTTGGCTGGGCTGATGGGGAAGAGCCACACTAAAACATGAAGTCTTCCCTATGAGCTGTCGACTGCGGAAGGCCTCTCATCATAGCCACATTCGTGAGACAAGACGAAGTACAAAAACACAAGAGAACGTTTTAACGCATATCGTATACTCCATGTGATATGTATGGCATATTGTATGCTAGTTATTGTACTTGCCGATGGATGCACTGGCACCACTGGCAGTGCCTTGTCCGTCGTAATGCACATGAGTACGATAGAAGGGTGGCGGGAAGGCTTAGGCGGGATAAGGGTAGGATGGGGTTAGGAACAGGATGCAGCGCTCTACAGGAAAGGCTCGGGAAAGGTGTGGGGTTAGGATAAGAGTAGATAGGTGAATGGATGGGTGGATGGATAAGGATGGGGTAGGAATCAGGTGTTCGTCGGTAGATATGGCGGCATGCGTAACTAATCAAGTGATATGTTTTAGGATGATGGTAGGTGGCAGTCGGCGATGCCGTAAAAAAACGCAAAATTAATGGTAGCGCCTCTCTGTGTATCGTTTCGTTGAAGCTTGTTCCCTGCGCTCCTTTTGCTGCATGCGGCAACTTAATGTAGCGAAATGGAGATTAACATTAACTTAACATTGGCGAAATGGAACGAAGAGTCAGGGCGAGTTCTAATGACCACTTCAGAGGTGCTAAAAATGAAACAAAGAACACCTCATTTAATTTTCCACATAGGACAGATAGCATCTGCCTTACATACGCCATTATTATGAACACCACACAGAATGGCATTGCTCGACTGAGTTATTTGAGGAGCTTGCAAAATCCGGAATCTTTTATAAACTTTTTGGAGGATCTAGAGAAATCTGGTATCTTTGTGCGGAATAAAAAGTACGTGTCTGGCTACTATCAGGCCATGTCAGGGCCCCACAATGGCGGAAACGATCATGTCAGCCCAATATTGAGTGCATAAACTATCTCGGTACAATTTCGCTGGTGCACCGCCATCCACAAGCAGTAGGCTGTGCTCCTTTGCCTTGAAATCCATAGCTACATTTTCTGAAATTTGAGCAGCCATTTTCTACTCAGAACCGTTCTCCAATCACGGAGAACAAGCTGTTACAGGTCGGGTGTGTTTTTTTGTGAATTTCTCTGGCCTCCACTTACTATACACAAGTCTGCGGTGCGCACCGGCAGAGGACCGTCGGTCACATAGCGAACGGGAGTGACACAAACGGGTAAATCGAACTTCCGTCGCAGGTAGACGCAGAGTAACGCGCATGGTTTCATGGTGGATAAGATTTCATTTCGCATCCTGATTTCACCCTGCATTGATGACATGTGCTATCGAGGTAGGAAGCTCGTGAGTGGATCAATGTTTTGATCGCAAAAAGTACGTGTCATATGTGATTTATACCCATCACACACGCAATAAACACACAATGCCGTGACCAGAGGCGATGGCTTGCGGCGCTGCAACTGTGTGATGGATTCCAGGTCGTCAGAACACCACCAATAATAAACCAAAACGAACCAATTAATAGACGCGCGATAGTCACTGAGTCCAAACGAAATTCCCTACGCGCCAACTGTTGGTTTTTACCGATGTTGTGACTGCCAGCAACTGCAGTGAAGCCGTTAGTACATATTTCCGTCACCTGTGTGTATAAATCCCAACCGTAAGCGCTGGCTGAGAAGGCAAAGACGTCACGACGAGCACGGGCCACGTGGCGCAGCAGGCACACACAGAACCCATCCATGGCAGTGCAATCCATCATCTTATCGGATCCGCGGCACCACGCGGGGGTGCACAGTGTGCGCGGCGTCAGGCCTCGGCTGCTTACACTAGCCAGCTGGCTGCGACCGAAGCCGGACCGAGCGAAAGCCAGGCCCAGCAGGCGTCTTAGCCCCCACGGGGTACTCATTCACTGGCCACGTCGTATGAAGGTGAGGTGACCAACGGGTCCCAACCACGGCGTTCAAACAAGCTTGAACGTCGCTTGACTATTCGTAAGGAAGGCTACAGCATCGGAATTCTTAATGAGGGTTTTCCTGACCAGTTAGGCGCGCTAGAAACTTGACATATTTGTGGATATTAGCATTAAGCAATCAATCATATTGATATCGGCATTTACCGATAATCGAAATGCAACACTGTTTGAGACCATTGGTTGTTTCAAAGCATTTGTGCCTGATCAAATGTGGTGTTTGGTTAATTACAGGCAGCTGTGAAGGCCTCGCTAACTTATATTGTATTCTACCTTTTGCCGTTAGTTTTCTTTTTATACTGTCGTATTTCCAATACGGTTTGGCCTGAACATGGGTCGCATGTGACAAGGCCCATGCCGCATAGGCCAAGGCCCATTCTATAATGGGTCGTATGGGAACACGCGGTAGTAGAACTAACCCTTGTTATGACGTCACTTTTGTCCACAGCGTTCTAGCCGAGGAAATTCGAGTAAACTAGCCATATGTGTGTTGTTGGAGATTTATAGAAGCCTAAACCTCATCTTGGAATCAAGGTACTTTTCCGTATTATTAAGTAAAGGTTAATTACATTACAATCTACTTCGGTATGACTTTCTAAGTTTTGTATGTTTAATAACCAATTAATCCGCGCATTATTGCCGCATTAGCCATATGCATTTATGTTCTTTTTCACTACATCGGGTTACCAAAATGCCATGAAGATCTAGGAATCCCCCAGCAATCACGATGTCACAAATAATCATTCCGGTCACGAATGTCGAGTATTTTTGGACGCAGCGGAGATCAAAGCTGTCCAGCGGTGGGCGCATTCTGCAGCGGTCTTTAGTTACGCGCCGCCCGTCGCCGAGTGCAAATCAGAGATCGAAGCTCTCCAGCGGTGGGCGCATTCTGCAGCGGTCTTCAGTTACGCACCGTCCGTCGCCGAGTACAAATCAGAGATCGAAGCTCTACAGCGGTGGGCGCATTCTGCAGCGGTCTTCAGTCACGCGCCGCCCGTCGCCGAGTTAGGTCTCAGGGCGATAGGTGGCGTCGCGCTCAGAAAAAGTACGGTGCCGGCCGACCGGTCGCCCGAATATTGATGTAGCAGCGTAACTAGTTGCTCAAACAATGGGCGACTGAGGCGACTGAGGCCGACGTCTGAAAGGAGTCAGCCTGCCGGTGGCAAGTTAAGTGCACATCAGGGAAAGTGTTCCCCAAGTTTGCAAAACTGTCCCTATGTAACTCCGCAACGTGGTTATCCAAAATATTGTGATGGAAGCAAATGGACTGCATTGAAATATCGTTTTTTCGGTTATACTCGTAGAAGTATGCTTTTCCATTATTTACATCGCATTGTTATTTTGCCAATCGTTTACTGGTCACATTTCATTTATTTATATTGAGCGTAAGTATTTCTGTAAACCTTTCGCTTTCACAGTTACGTTGCTGGCTAGCCATCAATACACAGCATTGATAGTTGTTTCTTAACAATTACGCACGTAAACCTGCGTGGCGAAGATCAGTCAAACGTTACAGGAGTTTCGTTGTTCTCAACCTGATGAGGCTGGAAATGTTTTTTTAATGCTGTAATCATTTCGTGATTAGCGACGATATTATACCGCGCGGAGCTAGTAATATAAGTTTCCAGGACCGAAGCCCTTTGTAGCGATTTTTGCCTTAGACCTTCATTTTCGGGCAGAAGCTCCACAGGGACCAATGCTCAGGCAAATCATTCGGGCCAATTCTGGTGTGTTAATATCAAATACTGCGTGACGAAACATGAATAGAAATTTAAAGCCACTCTTTCCACCACACTTGTGTAATGACGTCGGAAAAGAAGATGACGAGGAGATTATTACATTTAAGTCATCAGTATTGAGTAACATCGATAGGAGAGTAAAACGCCCACATGCAGGCAGATTTTGACGCCGAAAATACGGCCATGAAGGTCTCCAGTCGCCCCCCCCCCCCCCCCGTCCCCATTTATGTTGCGTAGAGTACAAACATAGTGACTTTAACTTGGTGAATAGCTTGAAGTTTCAGCAACGTTTTGAAACTTAGCAACAGAGGCATAAGCAGAAGTGATGACTGGATTTTAGCTTCCTACATACCCATGATCAGGCCATACGAGGGCGCAAGGTCGAATGTTGGGAGCGTCACGCGGATTCTGTGGGCCAAGGGCGGCAGTATGCTGGACAATACAAATAATCGGAAATTACGGCAATTTTTTCAGGGCCATCGATCAGACGTCGACTTAATGGACGGACGCGGTAGCTAAGCGGGTCAGGGGGCTGAGACCCTGTTCCCCCCACACCCACCTGCTCAGCTTTTTGATAATTTAACGGTGAATCATTTGCCATTAATTAGAACGAACCAAAGCTGACTATGGACACCCGAGCTTGGGAAAACTTCGTTTGACCCTGTGCCAATGACCAGTTTGCTGGAAGGTATTCCCCAGATGAGGACAGGACAAGGCGAGTTTTGTTGATATACGAATGCATTTGTAATTGCTTGACAATGTCAGGCCAAGCGGACCAGCTGCGGGCCGAGTCAGGGCGCAGAAGAGCGCCGAGGCTCGGAAGACGGCCCACTCATTGCCGGACATACCAGCCGGCGTGCCGGTCCAGGTACTACAAAAGGATATGGTTGCGAACTAACCGTATTTGACCAGGGGTGATGGCCAAATGCGTACGAAGGTATGAGAGAAGGGAAAACGATGCTGATGTTAAAGTCTGTTCTTTCCAAGCATCGCCATAGGAAAAATGTTTAAAGGTTTAACAGAAAAAACCACCTTGAAGACTTTTCTGTGCTGTTCACAATCTTGCCCTTCTTAAGAAATATGCCCCGCTAGTTCCTGAGCTACACGCCAGCGAAAATGGGGAAAGGTGTATCGAGGAGAGTATTTCAAAGTAACCTTGGCATTCATGAAGTCATAATAACGTCATTCAAATTCTGTCATTCCATAAGCCATGTGGCGATAAAGGCCAAGAAAAATATAATTGTCGAGACGTTCATATCCGGTGTTCGTGAACGCGATTTCCGGATCTTCGCGACCGTCCATTGGCTCTCAATCAATGTTACGTAAGGTACGATGACGTAATCAAACCATGACGCATCGAGGAGCATATTTACTAAACAGAGGATTGCACTGTCTAGAGCAGTCTTAGTTATATGTGAGCTTGTTTCATCATATTTGATGCTTACTTCAATATCTCCAAATATGAAACATTCCCTTTACACAAGGCATCCTGCCATTTTAGTTATTTAAACAGGTTAGGCCGGGCGGAGGGTGGGGAGGGGTGAGATTAACTCAAGAGCAACGTTTCAGTTATAAACCTTCTGCTGCCTATTCAAGTGGCAGAACCCACTGCAACGCTTTTTGAAAAGTGTTGCACAACCTTGGATCGTGATAGCTAATCATAGATCATGATTAACTATCACGATCCAAGATATCGTAGTATCACATCATATTAGCAATCATAGATTATGAAAACTAACCTTAGATCGTGACAACTAGACTTAGATCGGAATGAAAGCCCTACATTCGAATAAATAATCTTAGGTCGTGATCGTGTAACCACAAGTTACAACAAGTTATGGCAAATTCGCTTTTCACGTCTCTTGATAGGCTTCTAATAAGGCGTACCGTCGTAATAGACGTTTTTACGTCGCTTGCGCACCTAATAGCCTTAAATTTTAGCTCTCTAAGCACCTAGGCAAGCGTCAAAATTTGGTCAGAACCTTTTCATTATAGCGCGAATAAGAATATATATATATATATATATATATATATATATATATATATATATATATATATATATGTGTATATATATATAATCAAGATACAAACGTCACCTGCTGTTATTTTAGTTGAGTCTTTTATTTACTCCAGTAGAACATGGCCTGGCTACGCGCTGTAAGCTTGAGCAAGAAGGCATAGCCAGGCCAGTGTAACCCAAGATTCTTGGAGTAGCATATCTGGCTGCTACCGAGATTACCCTGATTTCGTTAGAGTTCGACATCTTGAATCTACTGAGTTGGCATCCCCATCCGCATTTCAAACTGACGCATGTGAATATTTGTGGCGTCGACACGAGCGAGCGACGTATGTCATTCGAGGGCTAAAGCCGTACCCGGCCTTCCGTGCTACATCCAACCGTTCCGAAGCCAGTGACATGAATGGGAATACCAGTCACTTTGACAGCATCAAAACGAAAAGAACACAATCATATTTGTATCTATCTTGTGATGCGAAGCCTTTACCTAGTTCCGTCGTTTTAGACCCGGCGGACGACATGGCGACCCGCCAAACCTTCGGCATCGTCGACTACTGCGTGTTCGGAAGTGTTCTCCTCTTATCGTTGCTCATCGGCGTCTACAATGCCATCCGCGGCAAACAGACCAACGAAGAGCTGCTGCTCGGTGGCAGGAAGATGTCCATCATACCGGTGGCCGTCTCCACTATGGCCAGCTTTCTATCAGCCATCCTCATTCTGGGTAAGGCAGGGCCAAGAACAAGAGGTACAACTGTTGCCTTACGGCTCAGAAGACGTAAGGAAAGGGAATCCACAATGTATTCGATTCCAGCATCCTCTGCGAACCACACGTGCCAGACTCACCCATACAGACTTCACAGCTCCACAGGCATCTGCAGCGGGGTTGGGTCTGGAACGACAGAATGATTTTCCCATATTTCACTATGCTCGCTCAAAACTTGCTGCAAACTCTTCAGCTGTCGTTTCGTTACGTTTCGCGAAAGCACTACTCGAGCTCTCCTGCTGTCTGATGAACGCGGCTCGCCATTACTCCTTACAGGGCCACCTCCGACTGTAAGTGGCATGCGCGCAACACTACCAAGCAGGGCTCTGGGTTGCAGATCACCACCACCGGCGCTGCCGCTGCCGTTAGTCGTGGGTGGCGCTGCCGGCTGGGACGTACGTTATGTGGACCCTACACGCTAGGCGTAGAGGGTCCACATAACTTAGCAATGCACGCTAGGCGCGTTGTCACGTGGGCTTTCCGTGGAGGCCAGCGGCCGTGGTGTTCACATAGCGCCCAGCGGCCATGACCGGAAATGGGGCCTGCCCGTTCGGTGCCAGGCTGGATTATCGGCGTCCGCCCACGTGCAGGCGCGATGTCGTTCTAACTGAGCCTCGCCGCGCTATGGGCAGGCTCGCCGGCGGAGATGTACATGAACGGCGTGCAGTACTGGATCACCGTGCTGCCCCTCGTCGTCCTCGTACCGGCTGTGTCCATGCTCTTCGTGCCCATTTTCTACCGTTGTAGCATCACCACCGTCTACGAATACCTCGAGTTCAGGTCAGTGGTGACCACCGTGTCGGCCAGGTCAGCTCACCGATAGTTGAGCATGCAGTGTTGACCGTTGTGTATTTCACACACATGTGCCACGTTGGTTAATTCTTCCAGACTGGGTTTAAGTACAGCGCGCCACTTTTTGTGCTTTTTACCTAATATGAAATCGGACACGTACGATTTAATCAGTAAAACTAATTTTTCCTGAATCCTTCTGAATAGTTCGGAGCATCGATCTGAAGCAGCGTTACTGCGGGAGAAATCTCGTTGGATTCTGTCCTCACCACTATGAAAGTAATACATTTAGTTTGCCTTGCGTTGTTCAACGTCTGTGTTCTGCTACCAGTTTGTAACACATTTATTCGTCTAAACACTGAGGTAACAAATGTTACGGAGGCTTGAAACACTCTCCTGAGATAAACAGACGTGTGAACGTGAGGCCATTATCTCGCGAATCCAACGAAACGTTCTACTGTGGCCTTGATTTCTCCCCCTGGCATTTACCACAGTGGCTCTTTTCGAGTCGGACTTTGGGTTTGGGAATAGGAGATCACATGGTTCAAAGTGACGCACTGATTCAAGCTTCAAAAGATGAGGTTTTCGGGAACGGGCGCGTGCCGCCCGCTGGGCCAATCACAAACGTTCTTTTATTCACACCAGTATAGTTGCCCCGGCGGTTGTGATGTGGCGATCGCGCAACTGGAGGGAAGGAGCGGAGTGCTGTTACAAAGCGTTGAGAGCATAATTTGGACTAGAAAATAACTACCATTCATGTCTTTATTATGTCTTGACGGTGTTGCAGTGACAGCACCCAATGCTATAATTACACGTAATTGATTCTGAGGTTTCAAAAGAGTACATGTTTTAAACGTGCTTTAACACGCGCCCCAATGGCCGGCTGGATACCCTTCACTTGGGTGGGAGGGTCAATTTGCCCCCCCCCCGAGATCTCGGGAACTAAGAAAGCTAGAGTCACCAAATTTACAGGGTGTGTTGACCTGTCCGTGAAATCACTTAGGTCCAAATTTCAGGTTCCTGGATTATGACCTTCGGGTCAAATAAGGTCAAACATGGTCAAATTCCAGGTTGGTCTCCAAAGTGCCCCAGAACCTAGATAACTGTTTCTAAGCAAAACGTCACATGCTCACCTAAGGTCAGTGACCTTTTTGACCTTTTAAGGTCATGGTGACGAAAATCATAGACGACTGCTCGAGTTTTGCATTTGAATAAGCGACAAAGACTATGCAAGGCAGTATGTCTCTAAATGCAAAATGTGGACCTGGGTCACTCTAGGTCAATGACCTATTCTTACCTCTAAGAAGTTCATGGAAGATGTATAATGCGGTTCCTGCTATCAATAAATTCGAAATCAGCACCAGAAACTTTCCCATACAGCAAGCCCTAGAGTAATAAAACAGGTTGGTTATGACCTAGGTCTGACCTTCAAACCTAACCTTAGGTCAACGTAATTTGCTCACTTAATATTGTGTTGCCTAAGAAAGCATCTCAGAGATGTATGGCTTCGTCTAACACTCCGTTGTTGCACCAGATTGAACGATTCCCTAGAAATGGACTTCGCTGAGACCATAGCCTGACTTTTACCTGTTATAGGTCAGCGATCTTACAAGGTACATCTAATTTTTTTCGGTCAAACGATCCGCTTTTTGAAAAATTCGGCGCGGCGTATCCACGCCCTTCGGAAACCATTCTCGAAAAACCTTCGGGGGGTTAACTTGACCCCCCACCCGAGCGCATGTTAAGGGTTAAAACACTTCCTTTAAGCGACGTTTATGCCGCGTAGATGTGAATAATTAAGTTAAGTGCATCGAGTTTATACCAGCTGTAGTCGTGTGACCATAGTGTATAGTTCAGTTGGATGGTTATCCTGGCTTGAAAGCTTAACCGAAAAGTAAGCTCCGCGGTCTTGCCTGCAACTGGGCGTCGAGTTTTCTGCTCCATTGCAAGGTTTGCTTTAACAGACATCCAGTGCATAACTTAAAATCTACACGAAGACCAGCATTGTACAATGCGCGGTTTCTTCGGATAAAACGTTTGGTTTTGGGATAGTTGATGTCTTGAATTTGCGATAGTCCCGCTTTTCACTTATATCAGTAGCTTTTTATCCTTCATGCGACTCCGTGCGGCTTTACCCTTATCCAACTATGCAGCTAAGTAGTGCTCATTTCACTTGAAGCTGACCTAGCTTTATGTTCTACGCCATTCATTCATATTCAGATTCACGTTGGCAGTAATGCTGGTCAAGGGCGCACCCGCGGATCCCGTGGGCTTGCCCGCTTGCGAGCTGGCAAAGCTGGCAAGGATTCAGTTGACTCTGCTGGCTTGAATCGTAATAGGCACTGGCTAGGCATAGGATTTCTGTTTCGGACAATTTTCCACAACGGAAATTCCATCTTCTAAATTTTTGGTGCTGAAAGTAACAACTAGGGTTAAAATGCGCCGACATTTCACTTGGCACGGGAACTGGGCTACTTTATGTGTGGTGGCTACGGCTACATTCGCAGCACAAAAATATCGAAAAGTCATTACCTTGGGTTTACTGTGACAAAGAACATTGCTGGCCAAAAATCTCAAACCCTTTGCGTTTCCTGTGATGTTACTTAGGGCCAGCAGCCATGTTCCAAAATACAAAGAGACACCACGTCAGAAGCTTTGAGTGGTATATATCTCGCAAGGAGACACCACGTCAGAAGCTTTGAGTGGTATATATCTCGAAAGGAGCAAATGGTGCTAGTAGAACGCTGACAGACACCAACATCAATGTTCTCATAATCAATATTCTCCGTGAAATAAATCGTTGAGAGGTTACCACGATTTAACCCCACAGGCCATCTCATAACCTCCAGGTTTGTCCAGGTTTGAAAATAATTTTCTGCGAGCCCTGTGCGTGCTGATCTACCTCGTCCGGACGTCTCTCTACATGGCCATCGCACTCTACGCTCCCAGCCTAGCTCTCAGCTTCACCACCACTCTGTCCCTGGAGGCCAGCATCATCGGCACGGCAGTCGTCGGCACACTGTACACGGCGTTCGTGAGTTGCATGGCGGCTTTTTCGTGTAGTGTTCATGACTACTTCGGAAAGAGGGGAGGAGGTGGGGTCGAGGGACAAGACATGGACTAGATAGGACACCGTATATTATTATTTCAAATGTGGAAACCGCGGCGCCTTGCTTTCTTAAGTTATCATCTATGGTTTCTGTTTTTGTCTTAAATGACAAGTAAACGACACCACCTAAGGTTTCACCGTGAGCTTGATGTAAAGATTCTGACACAAATGCACATACCGTGAAAACTAGTTATGTATTACTTCGCTACTTCACGTGGATCTTAAAGCCTATGCATCAGTTGTGCTTGGTATTTCCAAAACAGCCTACATATCAGGGCTTGAAATCTTCCGCGGAAAGTTTGTGTGTGGGGGTGGAGGGGGGGGGGAGGGGGGCGTCCATAATCCCAGGGCAACGGGCCAACTGAACCCAGCTCGTCACAAAAGCACCCACTTCCCTCCCCCGGATTTAAGACCACCTCGGTTTTGACCGCTGTATTTTGAAACAGATCTATTGATCTCGATTCTTAAAAAGACATGGACTTTTTTGTGAAAGATTAACACGCAGACCTCGTAACGTTTGTAAACCTGTTACACGTTCTGACCAGCCGCAGGTGCGCGACATTTTGGCTTAGGCTCAAGCATTTGTCGCCGTTGTAACAATCACCTGATATGTGCATGTATCAATTTTCCAGGACCAAATAACTGCTTGTCTCATCCAACTTAATCGCCCTTTTTGATGAAGAAGCTCAACTCGTTTTTCGTTGCTTATTCTGGTGCCCCGAAGGTGCGCATTTTTTGCGTTTTGCATCAGTGCCTGGCGCCGTTCCAACAATAGCCAGACACACGTTTCCAAATTTTACAACTTGTACCCACCTTTCATCGGCTTAAACACGCTTACCGTCCTATCGTAATTCATGTTTGTGTTTGCGGTCACTTTATACATCCACAACAAATTGAGCAGCTTTTGCACCTCCTTCGCACCTCTTAAAGTACCAAAAGCATTTAGACTGAAACTGGATCGTCTACGGGTACCGTTAACCCCTCCTACGGGGCACACAACGAATCACTAATATTTTTTCATAGTCGAATGTTCCCGGAAATTTGGGGTACGAATGTGGTAACCAGCAAACCTGTTTTGAAAAGCAGTATTCCGTCCGAAATATTCAGACTAGAACTGGATAATATGTGGGTATCATAACTGTTTCCAAGGGGCTCGTACAACATCACATATTTGTGTGACCGTACCCAGATTCCATTGGGCGATCCATCGGTCCAGGGTTCCAGTTTTGTCGCATTTGCGCATTTCAGCAATGGGAAATATGGTTCTGCAAGTCCCATTTTCACAACAAAGCCTTGTTTCGGCAGTTTTTACTCCGTTCCGTTGGGACCTTTTTCTCCGCGCGCCCCAGGAAGGGCGCCGCAGCCCTGAAAGCTGTGAAAAGTCCTATAAAAGGGAATACCTGGACCTATCGTACCTCCGCTTTGGACTCCCATGGCCACTGCATTGGACACATAGCGACGCCAGGTTCAAGACAAACGGTCCATGAGATTTTCCGGGGCCAAGGGACGTGGTCCCCCGACACCTTCGGGATCTCCAGCCATGCCCTGAGCGTCCACCATGCCCTGAGCAACCAGGGAGGTATATCGGCTGCCGGAGGATAGAGTTCCTTCGTGGCTAGAGGGGCCCATTACTGGCTTACCAGGCCCCTGAGCAACCAGGGAGGTATATCGGCTGCTGGAGGATAGAGTTCCTTCGTGGCTAGAGGGGCCCATTACTGGCTTACCAGGCCCCTGAGCGGCTGGCATGGGACTGTAAAAAGAGCCCTGTACGTTTATTTCCACTACTGGGCGTCCAGAGAGCCCCTGAAGGGTGGGAACGGCACACAAGATACCAGAAATGACCACGAGCAGCCAGAAAGGTCGCTCAGTGATAGGAGCGGCCAAAAGCGTCAAAAGCAGCTGGTAAGACTTTCGAGTGTCCAGAGTCGTGAGCGCAGAACTAAATGACTGGCGACCAAACGGATCGATGAACCGGCCAGTGGGCCCTGGGTAGCCGGATGAGCACTTATGTAGCCATGTAAGGGTCTCTTCAGCTATCAGAAGCGCCCATTGGCGATTTAAGGGGCTCTTGGCGATCAGAGAAACACCTGAACAGCGAGAAGAGAGCGCTACTGGCCAGAACGGCCTATGAGCGACCAGAGGGGCCTTAAGCAGACAATGCAACCCATGGGAGGTAACAGAGCCCTGCGTAGTGCAAAGATGTCGTGTTCTGAAATGCCTTTGAAAGGGCAGAGGCTACAACTAGCTATACGGACCCTTAAGCGATCAATGTGCGCTCCCTGGCCAGAAAGGACCCAATGAACGGCCAGAAGAGCCTGGAGTTGCCACACGAGGCCTACTGGGCCTCTCGTTGGACTAATTTGTTACTGCCTGACCTCTTAAAAAGAACAAACTTTGGAAGCGTTTCTCATTCACTAAGCATTTGCCTTTGATCTGTGTGGGTCGAACAAGGTTTCCCCAAGGGTCCCTCCACACCAGACACTTAGCCTTTTGATTTTCTGGGGCCGGGGAGCCCTCCACTCGACCTCACAGGATCCCCAGTCTTACCACAAATCGTGGCGATTGTTTGCCTGCGAAAAGCTTCTTGCTATGGAAGTCTGCTGGCTACAGCTTGGCGTCTCGTCCCACAGGGTCTGAAGGTCATCATCTGGTGTTTGGTTCTCAGGGAGGTTTAAAGGCCGTGATTTGGACTGACGTTCTGCAAGCTATCGTCATGGCCGCTGGAATGGTGGCCATCATCATCCAGGGCGCCATCAACGTCGGAGGCTTCACGAATATCTTCTATATCAACGCAGAACACCAAAGAATGACATTTTTTGACTTTACCCTCAACCCTTGGCAAAGGTAATGACTGTCTCGTAGAGCACACCATAAAGGTACTGCCCATGATGCTCACGCATCAGTGTCGTTACCACAGTGCCCAGTTGGTCAAAATAATGCCGGCATGCAGCTGTTCACGTTTGGTTAACGAGAAGGAATGGAAGGTTCCACAACCGGCAAAGCTATGCGTACTGTGTGATCGCCCACGCATAGCCGGCATGCGTCAGTGCCGTGTCCCCCTCCTCTCCTCCGTCCAAGGTGGATCACAGGACAGCCTGTGCCTTTCCCGGGCTCAGGTCCCCCTGTGTCCCTGTGTGTCCTGTGTCCTGTGTCCCAGATGTGTCCCCCAACGCATCCATCCATGCTAGAAAGCCACAGATAATTGCAGAAATTTGCATAGGGCAAGCATTCAAAATTGCCCGTGGGTATCATCACCTTTGTGAATAATGGGAACGTGCATTGCACCACTTTCAGACACAACTTCTGGAACCTGTTCTTCGGCACTCTGTTTCTTTGGACGACTGCTCTCGGTGTGAATCAGAGCGCCATACAGCGGTTCCTGAGTCTGCCTACTCTCAGGACCGCCAGAATGTGAGTCAATGTCTGCCGGACATGGAAACAAATTGCGATTGTCTTTGAAAGTTTTGCACATAAGGTTCCCAGCCGGAATAATATGTATTCGGTGCTTTACGGCACTGAGTAATTTTCTAGAGCAGGCCATGCGCAGCGGTATTGGATGGGGTGGTGGTAGTTTTAGAAAAAAGTTTGCGACTATTTGAGACGTTGACGATTGCTTCCGATAGTTTTAAGAAACAAATTCATATCACTAACGAAATAAATGATGCAAATGGGTTGGGATTCTTGTCCAGTACTGTCACCTCTACTTGTTCAAATGTCGAAGAACTCCGACATGCTGGTCATCTGTCGCAGAGCGTGCCTCCTTAATGCTCCGGCCACTATCCTGTACAAGACGCTGGCATGCCTGACCGGCCTGGCCATCTTCGCCACGTACGCCGACTGCGACCCGCTCAAGATGGGTCTCATTGAGAAGAAGGATCAGGTGCGGGCGGTACAGTGACCCCAACAGCACCTTCTGACACATTTGAACGCGCAGCTCAGGCTCGCACGTGACGCGTAGTCGGACCTATTCAGTTCGATTATCAACCACCATATGTTACATATTGCAGATTGTTGAAAAAACCGTGCGTGCCTTATAAATAGGTCAACGTGTTCAGATGAACTCAAGTGGACCGGGCCAGTTGAAAAATTACCTTTGAATTATCCAATGGACAGAAAGTTGTATTATTAGTCCCCATTTTCATTCCAACGATTTATAATGTATCTTTCTTCTATGGGTTTCTCTCCAGTCTGAAATAATTCTGCACAATTTGATGCTTGCCACAGACTCACAGAACGGCCAGTATCTCCTAATAGTGCCAACACTGCGACAGCGTGTCAGTTCGTAGAATTATGACTCAAGACAAAACGCAAAAGTAAAAAATATTTTTAGTTCGAAATTTGTGGGGTAAGGCAAGTGAATATGAATAAAAATATGACTTTGTATACGCTCTGTAAAATAACGAAAGGGTGAAGTCATTTTGCCTGCCCCCATTCTTACCTGGAAAAGCATCAATCCACGTGAGATTGCACAACAGACCCGCGGCACGCTTTGCATGTTCAGTCAAAGCGTAGCGAGCGAGCGACGATGATTTCAAACAAGCCCTCATTCTGTTGCTCATATTCGTCATTATTATTATTATTATTATCATATTATTATTATTATTATTATTGTTATTATTATTATCATTATTAATATGTATTAAATATCTATGTTTTTGTATTCGTCTTCCAAACGCTGGAGTGATGCAGAGACGTCGCCTAAGACATGTAATATCGCATTGGAGCACGACGTATCGGAACGCTTCATAACACGGGCATAGTAGTGAGGAAGACTGTGCATAATTCGAATATTTATTTAATATATGAATGGAAAACCCACATAGCAGGCTGACACAAACTCTGCTAACAAATCAAACCCCACGCGTCCCGACAGCCGGGAAATGTTCAACTGCCACGCCAGGCTTCGCAAAATATCTCTGTTGTTTCAGCTGGTGCCCTACTTCGTGCTCGACCAGATGGCCCACATCACAGGCCTACCCGGCCTCTTTGTGGCCTGCATCATGTCTGCAGCGCTCAGCACCATTTCGTCCGGCCTCAACTCGCTAGCAGCCATTACCTGGCAGGACTTCCTCAGCAACATCAGCCTCTTCAAAGACATGTCGGAAGTCAGGCAGTCGTGGACAACACGCCTTATCAGTAAGAGCCTATTTACTGCCTGCGAAGCATCGCGATTCATAACCATTCTATTACGTTATTTACGTTACGTTATTTGGTTACGGTTAGGTTACGTTATTCGTAACCAAGTCATCTTGAACCAACTAATGCTGCCAGAATGCTGCCCATGAAATGCTCCACCGGACTATGAACTTGTACGAGAACTTGGCAAGAACTGGAATGAGACTGCGTCGGTAATGCAAGACTGTAAGGCATGGCGAACATGAAAGCAGTCAGCGTTTCCTTGTCGTCATTTCGTACGAGTGCATCGTGCACTGTTACATACGTGCACACATACGAGTGTTTTCTGTTACAGGTTTATTGTACGGCTGTCTGGCTATTGGCTTGGCCTTCATGGTCAGTCAGCTGGGAGGAGTGCTCCAGGCGGCACTGGCCATTAATGGAGCCCTCAGCGGTCCAATTCTGGGCGTCTTCTGTCTGGGCATATTTGTGCCGTTTTCCAATGGCAAGGTGGGGAACCATGTCCCTGACCTAATGCCATTACACGAAGCTATGACTAACGTGCTTTTGAATCGTGCTTGTTATACGGGTCGGAGATGGGTTATCTATTGACCGGCTTTCGAATAGCGCAAGTCATTCACGCACGTGACGCATGAGTGAAGCTAAACGGCGACCGAGAATGGAGATGGCGAACAGGACGGGAGCGGAGCGGAACGGAGCGTAAAAACGAATAAATCCTTCTGCAGCTGGTCGGCCCATCTGGCAACAGCGTTAAGTCTGGCAACAGCGGGCGTACGCTCATCACTGAGCGCTGGCTCAGCGACTCGCGGTCCCATATGCTGTTGGCAAACAATAATGTGCATTGAGAAAATTGCATCAGGTGTCAACAAAGGCACAGCTACCAATGGCTCATCAAACTTGACGGACTGTGACATGTGCGATGTTTTTTCCCAATGTTTTGGTCAGAAATTCTGCTGGGATGAAAGGCTACAAATTCAGCAATTGACTCACTTAAAGTTGAGTAAAAAATCATGTAAATCAGAGCATATCTATTCCTAAGCGAAACCAAAGGTTTAGTAGTGGGGGGTGGGGGGTTTAAGTATTGGTGACTCGGGCATCAGTGCCGATTACAAACATTGTTTTCAGCCACGGCAGGCGTAAAAATCACATACTGGACTACTAAAAATGTGCATAAGAATGCATGAATGAGACGTGCACTTAAAAGCAACCATAGTCTTGATGATACTGATGGTAAATACTTGACAAGGTTATTAATAACAAACAATGAGCCAAAGTTGCTTTCTTGTGTGCCAATAGAACATAGGACCCAAATACAAAAGATTGCACATTGCTCGTCTTTTTTTGGAAACTTTATGTTATCATTCGTTCATGAGAAAACCAAAGACTTGAAAGTAGCATGTAGAACAGGTAAAACGCAGTATTTGGGGGACGTTTGGGGGCTTGGGCACCATTTCTGATTACAAATATTTTTTTCAAGTACCGCGGGGTTGAAAATCAGATATCAGACCACTTCAATGTTTCTAAATTTGTAAACAGCACCAAAAGGTCTTCAAGATGGCTATTTCCGTTGAAAACCCCATATAAACATGGAATGCTCCCTTTAAGTTTGCGATTTATTTAACAACATCTTCAGCGGAAAGATGCAATATCTCTGAAACGCTCCAGAAAAACTGTGGCACGGCAACATTTAAAATTACATTTAAATTTTGCAATATCACAAAACGCCAATCTCGTTGGAAAGCGCCTGATATCGCGCTAATCACACGCACCACTGATTATTTTGTTACTTCAAAATTCAGAATCGGCGGGAAGGTTTTTGGTGATATATTGTTCACCATCCTTTATGCCAAAATTTGACAGTGAGAGTGAAATTAAGCTTTCCGTAATGTTGGCGGACCCCAATTCCTTCTCTAGTGAATATTCTAATACCTGAAAATGTGAAATCAGCCGGTGGTTTTTTCGTGATATATAGTTCCTCGTACTTTGACGTTGCATTTTACCTTGACGGTCACTTGATATTGCAAAATAAACGTCATTGTCAATGTTTTCGTGCCATGACTGACCATCTGGCGTGCGAACAGAACACTTTACAAGGCTGCAATGCACCACAAACGTGACTTCACGGCTCTGTTTTTACTAATTCAGCGGTCTGATATTGTGCTTCTGCTGTAGCTACCTTCGCGCTCTGCTTACGTTCCGTTCCAAAACATAAACGAACCCATCTTTCCCAGGTCGCCCAATCCCACCGAGCGGAGCGGGTCTCCGACGTACCGTCACGTCCTCACACTGCGAACGTAAAAAGATACGAGTTCCATCCACCGGGCAATTCACATGCACAACATGCGACGACCTGGACGGTCGAGCGCACGGCCGACTGGGGCTCGGCTGACCTAGCATCGTGTCCTTCCGGCAGGGCGCAGTGGTCGGTATGCTGACCGCTGGCGCCATCAGCACGTGGGCGATGTTCGGTGCCTACGGCTCGGGAAAGCGACCCGAGCCGCTGCCCACCTCCATCGCCGGCTGCACCGGCAACATGACGTCACTTGTCTCGTCCACCACGCCGCCACCCATTGACACCAGTCCAGTGCCAGCAGTGGAGGAGGATGAAAGGTATGGTGCTGACACAGATTCCCCGCGCCTTGAGAGCATGGGTTGATTTAAGTTTAAATAATCTGACACTTTTATAATATATTTTCTATGTTTTGTAACCCATCGTGAGTCTTTTATTACATCACGCAGCGCACGTCTCTAATTTTTTTTTACTATAATCGAATATTGGAAGTGCGTCCGGCTGACTTTCATTGTTAGCGCACACACATACACACACACACACACACACACACACACACACACACACACACACACACACACACACACACACACACACACACACACACACACACACACACACACACACACACACACACACACACACACACACACACACACACACACACACACACACACACACACACACACACACACACACACGCACGCACGCACGCACGCACGCACGCACGCACGCACGCACGCACGCACGCACACACACACGCACGCACGCACGCACACGCACACACACACACATCTATATATGTATGCGTGTGCGTGCGTGCGTGCGTGCGTGCGTGCGTGTATGCGTGCGTGCACGCTTGTGCACAAGAAACAAATAATGGCGCCGAAGCGCAAAAGATATGGATCTTTCTTGCATCGGTTTTATTTCAGCTTTCTCCACCAATACGTTTACGGCCTCTCGTACCAGCTGTATCCCATGATCGGCTGCCTCATGTGCGTCATCATCGGATCCATCGTAAGCCTGCTAACAGGTCTGTACGGCGAAATGTCGTCTACCCGAAATCGTTTCCTTAATTTGTTTGTGATCGACTTTTGATAGATCTGGTTTCATTTTGTGTAAGTGTCTAAAGATCAAAGTTCAGGCTGGCTTGCAATGCATTATTCGGAGTGCAACGCAGATACATGATAATACGCAGGTATGGGGAACCTTGCGAATTGCGAGTGGTCTATCGCTAAAACGGGTAGAACAGCAGCAGCGTCTGTTGTAAACCAGATGTTTCTTTGTGGTGACTCGATGCTGCATGTCCGGTTCGAACACACAGAATCGGCAGAGAACCGTCGATGACATCACAGCCTGCATTTTTCTGTTGACCTGACTTGCATATTTTCACCTTTTTAGCACAAATGTCTGACTTCTGTACCTAACTCACCATCAATCCTCAGGATGCAATCGACGGGAGGTGGGCGAATCGCTGGTCAACCCCCTCGCTTACAAGCTCTTCAACTGGATCAACCGCTTCACACGTGACGATTCCTCCGACCCGCGATATGCCGCCGACAACCCCATCTTCATCATGCCCACGTACAAGCAAACTGAGGCGAACTGACATCATTTCGTTGTTGAATCACATGTGATGTCACCAACTAACCCGAAGAAAAGCCAGTTGGCCGGCCACGACAGAGCGCGACAAGCCTGGCCGATGGCAGCACCGTCCCCGTGGAGGCGCCAGCATCGCGCGGGTTTACGGGAATCGCGGGCCACGTACACCCAGCGTCTCCGCCATTCCCCACCAACGAATCCACGACCTGCAAGACCCGCCGGAGCTAAAAATGCCGCGTGCGATGTGCGGGCACCTGCCGACGATGTGCTCCGCCATGCAGTGGTTGCCTTGACAGGAAGGGTGGTGCCTTCGGGAGTGGCGGCTGGTACTCGTGGTTGGCTGTGTGTGTATGTGTGTGTGTGTGTGAATGCTTGGACTTCGACGATGTTCGCACAAAAACCGGCGTCTGTGGTGGAAATGGGAGGGCGTTCCGGCATGGCTGTAAGAATAAACAAAATGGCTAGTGATTGTGCTATTGGGAAGCAGACAACTGACGTGTTTCAGTAAAGGCGACAGATATACGCATCTGCGTTCTCAAGTATTTTAAAGCACCGCAGCTTTCTTCACACAGTTAGAAATACGCAGAGGGAAAATAGTAATCATTGGCTACCAACGTGAAATGTGATGACATAACGGCTTCGTGAATGATTCAGATAACAGTGTCTGTGATTCAGGTCACTTCGAATGGTAAACCTCCATAACTACTTACCATGATTCCTAACAAGATATTTTCAACGCTAGTAAACATAGTGCACTGTTGCCCAGCCTTTCCTTGAGTAGATATTTAACCATCTCGCTGTTAATATCATTCAAATGTCTTAGCTGATCACTGTTCACTCGACCACTGAAGAGAGATCACGTCCACAGCCGATTCCTCGTACTACATGTAATATGAAATACAAGTACAGGCCAAGTACAATGCGTCAATGCCAACATTTTCATTGTCAACAACAATGTCGACATTGATCTGTAAGAAAAATATTTGGTGCTATTGTGATAAAAAAATTGATTTAGCTTAAAACGCGCCCGGGTGGCCGGCTGGATACTTTTCGCTCGGGGGAGGGGGGGAAATTTGATCACCCCCCGATATCTCAAGAACTAAGAGAGCTAGAGACATTAAATTCACAGGGTGTGTTGACCTGCACGTGAGCTCACTTAGGTTAAATTTTGAAGTTACTAAGTCACGACCTTCGAGTCAAATAAGATCAAACAAGGTAAAATTCCAGATTGGTCTTCAAAGTGTCCGCAGAACCTAGATGACTGTTTCTAAGCAAAAGTTCACGTGCTCATTTGAGATAAGTGACCTTGTTTGACATTTTGAAGCTCATAGTGACGAAAATAATACGAGACTGCTCTGAGTTTTGTACTAGAATAACCGACTAAGATAACGCTAGACAATGTGTTCCTAGAAACAACATGTTGACCTCGGTCATTTTAGGTCAATGACCCATCAGAACCTCTAAGAAGTCCATGGAAGATGCATAACGCGTTCCTTACTATCAATAAATTCGAAATAAGCACCAGCAACTATCCTAAAAAGCAAGCCATAGAGCAATAAAACAGGTTGGTTTTGACCTTGGTCTGACCTTTACACCTGACCTTAGGTCAACGTTAATTGCTCATTCCACATTTGTGTTGCCTAAGAAAGCATCTCAGAGATGTGTGGCTTCGTCTAACACTCCGTTATTGCATAAGAATGAACGATTGCCTAGAAATTGACTTCGCTGAAACCATGGCCTGATTTTGACCTGTCATCGGTCAGCGACCTTACAAGGTACATCACAATTTTTGTTGCCAAATAATCCGCTATTTAATTTTTCATAGCTATGCAAAATTTGGCGTGGCTATGCTGCGCCGTTTGGAAACCATTCTGGAAAAACCTGCGGGAGCTCAATTTAGCCCCCAGCCGAGCGCGTGATAACGAAGACTCGCGCAGACGAGCCTATTAAAATGTCAACGCGCTGTATAAAAAAGGGGGCCATTCCTGTGCTGACCGAGAATAAGTGTGGTGACGTGGGTGCAAGGGCATGCGCATGCTTGGAGAGGGCGTGATGGGGCGCCGAATGCATGAAGTCTGCTAGGATTAGTTACGGCCGAACGGCCGAGGAGGCTCCCAGGATTGTTATCCAGAGGGCCCTTACCAACGTAATTCGCCAGTTGTGTGGGATCCCTGCTAACTGGGCGTATTATCAATGCAACTGGCTCCGTTTTCGCCCCGTTTAGATATCGTCATCAGCTGAAAAAAGGAGGTGGAGTACCGTTGTTAAGGGCACTCTCCCCGCACAGCCATGTCCGGGGAGACAGCCGTCCATGGTGCCTGACCGGACTTACCATCCCGCCCCGGTCACCCGCCTCATCATAGCTCTGTGGCACACATGAGTGTGAGTTGATGTCGGGTGTACAGAAGTCACAACGTGCCAAGTCGTTCGCCAACATCATCAGACTCGTATGCTGACCGCGGCCTCTCCAGTATAAATTCTCTCTTGTCTTCGATTCCACTGTTCTCGCGACACGCTTGAGCGAAGACCGTCGGTCCCGTCCGCCAGGGAGGGTGGCGATGGGGCGGCCTCGGTCCGTCTCGTCCGATCGGTTCCCACCAACCGGCAAGGATGGGTCCGCTCATCATTAAATGTGTGTTGTCTAACAGTGGACTGTCGCAGTCTTGTTTCAAAATGGTCTGGGATGAAAGTACTTTTTGCAGTATTACCTCCAATCAGTATCGTCATACGGGAAACTTGGTTTCGTCCCACTGACCCATATAACTTAAAAAAAACAAATATCATTCCGTACATCGTTGCGAAACCACAGACGATGAGTGTCGCCACAATGGGCTGGCGCTATATATCACAAATTAAATTACACACACACACCTTCCACTTACCGCACCCGTTCAGGCTGTTACACGTTCTTTGCAGCTTCATGGCCGCAAAATCGATGCATGTTCCTTGTACATTGCCCTAACTTACGATTACACGGAGCTCCCACGGTAGCTTTGTCACCTAGTTACACGCTTTCGAAACCCTTCCTCATCCTCGGCGATTTCAACGGCCGCAGCTCAGCTCTGAGTAATGGCACTTTCCGAAAAACGTACGCATTTTTCATTACTGACTTTACTCATTAATAATCAAGTCATTTCGACAACACCTCCTATCACCAGTGCTCTTGCTGGAAGCCTTGCTCAGTGTAGCTGTTCCGGAAATTACCAAGTACGCTTCGTGGATCTTGCAAAAGGCCGTTTTCGTTCGCATGCTAATTATTCTGCTTCCGATATTACGGAAGACTGAAATGCACCATTTTCCTTCATGAACCTCCAAAATGCTATAAAATCCGCCGACATTACCTCAGCAGGCAATTGTCCATCGCACTATTTTCCCATCATTTCTCTAAAAATATGCTTCATTTCATGTCGGCAATCTTTAACGATTTGTAGCGATCCCATTTCGATAAAGGCATGGAGAGACACTATCATTTTATCGCTCCCAAAACCAGGGAAGATGACAAAGACCCATAAAATTACCGCCCCATTACACTTAATAGCTGTCCAGGAAATTTTTTTGAGCGGATGGTGGTAAAGCGCATCTTTCGGACCGTAGAACAAGACTGCCTGCCTCCAAAAAAATCAGCGTGGTTTTCGACATGATCCAGCGCAATAGACTGCAATCATGCCGCTTGAAACTGACATTAGACGTTCCTTTAAAAATCGAAATCACAGGACTGATGGTTTCCTCGACATTAGCCGAGCTTACAACATGGTTCTTAAATCTGCACTTGCTTTCAAACTCCATCACTTAGGGTTTAAAGGCCAGTCAGCCCACTATTTCATTGGACTTCTTTTCGGCATCAGACCATTTCGTGTGACATGCATCTCCACCATTCCTGACTCATCTAGAGAACGGCCTTCCACAGGGAAGCTGCATCTCACCGATTTTGTTCAATTTCATTACGAACGATTTCTTCACCACTTTTTGCGAACGGTCGCGCAATCTGGTGCTCGGAAACTGAGTACGGCAATTCGCTGTCGCGGCTCCAAGCCGCCTCAAACAAGGTGCAGCAGCGGTCAGAGCGTTACAGGTTTCGCTTCCCCGCTCCAAAATCAGCGGTTATGATTTTCAGCAGAAATAGGCGTGGCGCTCCCAACTTTCGACTCCGATTACATGAACACGAACTTTCCCTTCGTTTCGTCTTTCAAATTTCTCGGCGTTGTATTTGGCGCAAGGTTAACGATGCCAAAGCACGTGGAACATGTTTGCTCCAAATATCTAGAGACTTCGTTTTTGAGATGCATATCCGGGTTATGGAACGGTGTCGGCCGCCACACGTTATTACTTCTGTATAATTCCTGACTTTTCCCATCACTGAAGGTGGCTCCTTGGTATATGTGAAAGGAAGCTAACGCGCTCTTCACCCTCTGTCCACCATACAATCATGGTCTTGCGAATTGCCCAGGGAGTTCTGCGCACTTCTCCATCTTCAGCGCTTGGGGTTGATGTACACATTATGCCCCTTGCTCTCTTAAGAATGGAACAAGCATTACGTTATATAACAAAAGTGCGACAAAATCCCAATCCCCTATAATTAAAATATGTACATATCTTGCCTCGAATTCGCCACAGCCACAAAGGATCGGCGTAACGCCGGTTAGGACTGGTCATAGCACCTATGACCACCGTCTACAGTACCACTCTTCAGTTTGTTTTACCGTCTTCTTCCCTGTCACCTGCTTTAATAGTACCACCATGGCAGTCAACCCTTCGAAAAGTTTTGTTTCTTTCTGACGACCCCAAATGTCACAATTTGTGTTGAACATGTGTTTAATCGTTTGATTGCCACTTATCCAAATATTTGCTTTGTTCACACCGATGGCTTCTAGGCCAATAACCACACCGGATGTGCAGTCATTTGCAGTGAACATTATCATAAAAATGGTTGGTTACCGGATGGCACTTCACTTTGTTTGGTTGAATTATTTGCTCTTCTTCCTGCGTTACAACATATTCACCAACACATCGATACAACGAGGACAACAGTCACTCTGTTCCGATTCCAAGGCACTTGTACAATCACGTATCGAACCAGATTCCACCCATTACCGCCTTGTTATCATCAGTCTTTATCATATATCAAACACACAGGGCATGAACATCATTTTTTGGATTCCGGGATATAGGTGCATCACGGGGAACGAGCGGGCTAACTAACTAGCCAATTTTCGCATAATGACAAAACATTTTTGCCTACAGCAATGAACTGATATCGCCAGAACGCAACTTCATGACATTAAACCAGACATTTCCCCTGGCCCTCAGCACGAGGGCCAGGGGGAAATGTCTGGCGAAGATTTTTTAAAGCGAAGATTTTGTCCTTCGTGATCCGTCCCGCTCCGGAGGCGTCTCATTTCCTTTCAGTCCAGGTCAACATCATCTCATCATCTTTACGTCGACATTGATGTTTTCGACAGGACCGGCACAACCACCGCAGACCACAGCCCCGGCCACTCGGCCGCAACCAGCCGGTTGATAGCACGGGTCCTGGGGTGCCGGTGTTTACGCTTGTGTCGCACTGCACGGGGCTCGGGTTATCAACTGAAGGCAACAACAGGGCAACCACTACCACTTTTACCTTACGTTACCGAACATAGTGACGAGCGCGACAGCAGTAACTTTTGACGTTCAATACACTAGACAAGTCTTTGTAGTGCCCAGTGTTCTATTTTTCCGGCTCCAAACATTTGAGAGATCATGCCTTCGCCCCGTCACCGGGCCAGTAACAGTTGATCAACCCCCTACTTTCTCCTAGTGGGAGCAGAGAAGATATCTGGGACACGTTCCAGACTGTGGAAACGTCCGGCGTTATAAACGGAACAGCGTGCCTGTCATCAATGAAACAGTCTACATCTCTCGCCATTCATCCGACTGCGTCGCAGACCGGTCGCGCGGCGGCCTGTCGGTGCTCAGCCTGCCTGTAATCGTTCGATCATTTTAGCATCAATCTACGCATCACTCCCTGCTAACGAAGGGCTGGCTCGAGATGCGTTCAACCCACGCGTATCATTTAAATCGCCTAGCGGCGTCACAGCTCGCGGACAGGCCCGTGACTCCACTGCGCCAAGCAGCTGAATCGCGAACGCCGCACCCTAACATAACCCCTGCTTCCTGCTGGCCGTACAACCACTGGGATGTCCTCTGGAGCCCTACTTCCACTGGCTACACAACCACTAGGGCGTCCTCTAGACCTCCGCTACCGCTGGTCGTACAGGCAGCGCGGCGTCGGCGCGGCCCAGTAACCTGTTTGACCACTCCGGACGCGGCTGCGGGCAGTAAACGGCACGGAGCAGCGTGAACCCGCGCCGCACTCGCGCCCGCGCGTGACGGCGCGGCGCTAGCGTCGGGCTCACGACAGCCGCGTACGGGCAGCTCACCGGCCGCGGCCAGAGACGGTGTCGGGCGCCCGGCGCGGCGGCTGGGTGGGACCGCGGAGCGCGCGAGTCGCCGTGTGAGGAGACGACGGCGAGGTTGGACTGGGGACTGACTGCGAACAAGTGGTGACGCGGATACAGCCGAGAGGGACTTCAGAAGGCTCGGCAGTGTCAGGTGAGGAGGGGCGGACGAGGGGGAAGAGTCCAAGTGAATCGGCAGCATCAGGTGAGTGCGGCAGACGAAATGGAAACGCTCCCATGACCTGACAGTGCCAGGTTAGAGGGTAGACCGGTGAAAGGGAAGGCGTTGTGCAGCGGCCGGCGCTCAGCTTTTACCGGGCGATAACGGTAGGGTTGGAAACCCCAGCCTGGCAGTTCTCGGTTGGTCACGCAACCACCGGCGATATGGTAAGAAGGATCGATGCCGCGAGACGTATGTGGGAGAAGTTTCGTTCCCGTCCATTCACTCGACTGTGTGATGCCAGGAGCCGCAGTTGTGGCTATCGAGTTTGTTCCGCTTTCTGACAATCCATAAATGAGCCGAACACAGCAATGATAATATACCGCACAAAAACGGGTCCCAACCTTAGCTCACTCTTTGGCTCGCTGTCCAGATTCCAGCCCGCTGGCCAGATTCTCGCCCTCGATCCATAGCCTTGCCGCCCGCGGTCCACATTCCCTTTTTACAGCGCTACTGCCCGGGCGCCACGCACAAGTGCTGCGGTTTGTGTGCGGCACGTCCGTTAACAGCTGCGATGATACGGTTGGAGCCGCGAATCGATCGCTGGCCTCTGGCTGGCGCTCCTCGCGCCGGTCGGCCGTCTCCAGATATGTACTGCTTGTTGGAATAACAAGAGACAAGATGAACAGAAGTCCTTGTGGCTACGTAACCTGGGGACGAAAATTGGGCGTAAATAATGAAAACCTACACAATCGGCAGGGTGCATCTCCACAGCAAGTGTACGCGCGACCAGCGCGACATCACATTGTGAATCGCGCCATTGCCCCCTACATTGCCTATTGAGGCATGACGCTCTCGAGTCCCTGGGTCCCAAGACACCGAAAAAACGTGCAAACCCTTCAATAAAACAAAATCCGTTTTCCGGCACGTGTGCACGTGACCCGTGTGACCTAACATTTTCACCAGGCGACTGTCAGTTACATTTTTTATCAATGCATACCGTTTCCGTGCCGCTCCAAGCCATGGATGCCGAGATGTGGCAAAATACGCGAACACAGTTGAAAACAGCAAAATGCACCTCGCCGGCTCGTCTAAACACGACACGTAGCCCGTGTGATTGAAAATTTGGTGCCATCCAATAGCCCACTCGATTCACTATTGATACATGCCTGACACGAATCGCTTGGTGACATAACTGTCGAGATGTGGTGCAAAACGTGAAAATGGGCATAAGCTTAAAAATCCATCTTGCCAGCACGTGTGCACGTGACACGTGGTACGTGGGACTGTGCATTTGGAAGGGCACACTTTCCATTGAATAGCCTACTGAAGCGTGCTACTCTAAGGTCACTTCGTGCCCTGATTGCCGCGATATCGCGGAAACGTGTACACCCGTCGAAAATAGCCAAATCCATAGTTCAACTGGTGGCCACTATGAGACGTGACACGGGTGATAAATCATTGTCATCTTCCCCGTTATATTCCTTATCGGAGCGTGCCACTCCCAAGCGTATCCGTGTCCTGGGTGTCCAGATGTGGCACAAGACGTGTAAGCCCGTGGAGGAGAGAAAACTCATGCTTGTGCGCCTGGCACGTGATACGCGGTTTTTGCGTGGCTCGTCTTTTTGTGCCACTCCCGGGTCGCTACGACTTGTTGAGATACCGGTGCGAGATGGCATAACTGGTCGGAGGCAGCGAAATACGGCAACAAACCACGGGTACAGGCGGCTGTTTGGACTTCAAACCACCACCAATGGCGGCGGGAGACGGGACAGCGCCGTTTCCTTTGTTCCTTGGGTTTTTTCCGTTCCGTAGGGCTTTTACGTTCCGTTGGGACTTAACAACCTGGCATGCAACCCATTAGTCTTGGTTCATTTGCGATTAAATCATTTCAAAATGTGATCAGCAAAAGAGTCGTAAGGAGACAGAATGAATTGGTCAGCACGTTTTTGCAGTTTTCAGTACTCCATCCCTGACAGTTGCTGGCGGTAGTTGGCGGTAGCGGATGGCATTGCCACCAACTTTTAAAACTTAGCAGCTCGCAACTTGTCCTACAATTTCCAGCGCAATGGTGCGTTGCAAATCTTGCGACGCACGCTGAAACTGTACGCACCGCAATTGCGAATGTTGGGAAACTAAACTCATGCCTGTACCTGCTCTGGGAGTCGAGATGTGACCCAAACGTAAAAAGCCGTCAAAAACGGCTAATTCCGGCTTTCCAACATGTCTGTACGTGCCATGTGTCATGTGGCGCCAAAAGCTTACACTTATCCGATGGACCAGGCAATAATCTATGTGGCTGTGCAGCTTTTGTGTCGTTACGGCACTTCATTATAGAGATATGGCTCCGGGAGTGTACGCGTGTCTTGCTGTCGACTGGTGGTCGCGGAATTTGCGTCGAGACACAGCAAGTCAATGAATGACCGCGTTCAGGAACGTCTACTGCGTGACAAACCCACACTCGACGTGATACCAGAATAAAAGTATCTGTGCGATTTTTGCGATAAATGTCTTGCAGCGCCTGAGCAAAGCACACAAGCGGCGTGACCTTGACAAAGAGATGGTCACAGCATTAAGTTAGTTAAGTTCTTAATTGATTTTCCATCTAAAAGCACGTCGTCACTAATCGCAGATAAGGTTACACACAATACGCTACTGTTTTGTGCACATACACAAGGATACTTCAGGAGCTTTTCCAGAATTTCCCACTAACCGCAAGTGGCACCGTTCACCCACAAGTGCCGTCATGTCCCCTTTCGGCCCTTCACACCGCTCACTCTTCATGGTGCGTTTCAGCTGGCGACAGATTGCACCGAGCATGTTGGTAACGCGACGCGCACAGCTTGACGGACCGTTGTTTATGCGAAAGGGCTGGTATTTGCAAACGTTGCTGTAGCCGACAGCGTTAAAGTACATTTTCCACAGTTAGAAATATTGGAACAAGCAACCGACATGATGACAAAAGGCTCCCGAATAACTCCTGGCATGCTTTTAAGCTGAAAGACTGCTACAGACAACACAATTTTTCTATCTAGTAAATATGCTCCTCAATGCGTCGTTGTTTGGCACGGTCATCGCGCCTCACACAACATTGATTGAGAGCCAATTGACAACCGTTAGAAATGGAAACCGTGCTCACAAACGAGAGATATGAACGACTTATGAACGATTTTTGTCTTAGCCTTCATTGACCGATCATCGATAGAATGGCAGGGTCTGAATGGCGTTACTATGGTGTCATGGATACCTGGGTGAATTTGAAATAGTCGGCAAGAAGTAGTCTGCACACCTTTACGATTGTGCAGCCCAGGAGCTAGATGGATTCAGGTCTAAAGAAGGGCAGGGCTGTGAACTGCACCAAATGGTCTTCAAGATTGCTATTTCAGTACCCTAGACATGATCGCGATTTCATTACCCTGTACAAGATTGGTATTTCATCACCCTAAACAAATGTGAAATGGTCCCTTTAAGCAGAGTGCATATCCAAAAGAGCACGAAACAACCACAAAGTGCGGGCTGATCAAAGTGCCGAAACGTCGGCATCACCGGTCTTCGGCTAGCTGTGTTCCTGCTAGTTGCCAGTCTAAGAAAACTGACACGTGCCTTACATTCACTCATATTGTCATCTCAGACATGACCTCGCCAAGTATGCTTCCCTGTACTCTGCATTTTGTTCTGCATCTCAAGCCACCCGAATCTCAGAAGGCCCAATGCTGATGATAGGATCCTCTCCGACACAAAAGTTTTTAAAATGCATATTTTAAGATGGGCGTGACTGCATGCTCGTGGACTCCCGACTACATCACCTGTGTGAAGTCCCTGTTACACTTGCTGTTGTGTTGGCAATGCAATAGAAAAGATTGGCTGTAGGCATCATAAAATCACCAAAAGCAGGACGGTTTAGTGATGAGTTTTTATCATATGCGATCGCGTGCAGCGTTACAAAGGGAACTCACAACAGCGAAAATAGCGATTACAGCGAAACATCACAACATGATTAACTGGATGCTGATTAATTGATATATTAAAATTTGTAAAACACTCAATTGAGCGATGATATATTACACTACGACACAACCTTCAAATATGCACGAATACAGAATTGTGATGGAGATGCATGGGAGGATCCAGGATTTTATCAAGGGAGGGGCCAAATTCCACTGTCGCGCCCCCTAGAGCTCGGTGTCCCCCCTACCTTTACAAATAGGTCCCGGGATGCGGGCCATCTTATTTTCTTTTTTCAATGGGTAAAATACCTCCCGCCAGAATGGACCGTTGGATTTAGTCCACCCCATTTCTATAGGTCAATTTTCTTGTATTGTTATGTTGAACTTTAAGACATACGGCTGTTTACGGTGCCCCTTTGGTGTAGCCTGAACATAAAGATTTTATGCATAAAAATGAGGGTTTTGGTGCCCCTTCACCATGAGATCTTGGTGCCGCTTCGGCCAAAGGAGGGTAATTTGGACCCATCGCCTCTACCTCTGGATCCGTTACTGTAGAAATGCGATTCTAACATTAAAACTTCCTCTGGATCCGCCTCTGTAGAGGTGGGATTCTACTTTTAGAACATTGTTATCTATTCAACCATCACATTTCAGCAACGTGATATCTGACGAGAACAAACCCAGCACTGGTGGAGCAGGTGGGCGTGCAAACAATTGAGAAGGCAGGAAGCAGTACCCGGCTTTTGATGCTACATCCAGTCATTCTGAAGCCGGTGATATGGGTCGGGATGCCAGTCACTTTGGCAGCACCAAGTCGGATAGAACCCAACCACATTCGTATCTATCTTGCGGCGTGGAGCCATTAACTCGTTCCAACTTTTCAGACCCGGCGGACGATATGACGACCCGCCAGACCTTCAGCATCGTCGACTACTGCGTGTTCGGAGGTGTTCTCCTCTTATCGTTGCTCATCGGCGTCTACCATGCCATCCGCGGCAAGCATACGAACGAAGACCTGCTGCTCGGTGGCAGGAAGATGTCCATCATACCGGTGGCCGTCTCCATCATGGTCAGCTTTCTGTCAGCCATCCTCATTCTGGGTAAGACAGGGCCGAGAACCAGATGTATAAGTGTCGTGCTACGGGCCGGAGGACGTTAGGAAAGGGAATCCAGGATCAAATATCGCTCGATCCCGTGTGGAAGTCCAGTATATATGCCTTAATTAAAAATATTATATTTATCTATTTAGCATAACGTGGACATAAAATCTGACATATCATGTGCTTTACGAATTACAAGATATGAAGACCATAGCTGATATAGTATACTACAAACTGAAACACTCAAATGTCACTCGATTACACCATCCCCCCGCAAACCGCACTTCTCAGGGACGCGCCCGTATAAATTTCACAGCACCACAGGCATCCGTATGGGGTCTGGGTCTGCAGCGGCGGAATGACTTTCCCATATTTCAGCATGTGCGCCCGAAACGTCCTGCGGGCTCCTCCTGCCGTTTCAGTACGTTTGGTGAAAACACAACGAGAGCTCTCTGGATCACCAACACCGGCGGGCAAACAATGCGCAAAATGCAAACACCGGCGGGAAATGGAACCTGCTCGTTCGATGTCGAGCTGGATTCTCGTCGTCCGCTCACGTGCAGGAGCGATGTCGTACTAACCGAGCTGCGCTCCTTCGGGCAGGCTCGCCGGCGGAGATGTACATGAACGGCGCGCAGTACTGGATCTGCGTGCTGGCCTACGCCGCCCTCCTGCCGGCCGTGGCCATCCTCTTCGTGCCCATCTTCTACCGCTGTGGCATCACCACCGTCTACGAGTACCTCGAGTTCAGGTCAGTGACGACCGCCGTGTCGGCCAGGCCAGCTCACCACTAGTTTGAGCATGCAGTGCTGAGCGTTGTGTATTTCACACACGTGTGTCACGTTGGTCAGTCCTTCCAGACTCGGCTTAGATACAGCGTGCCACCTTGTGTCCTCCACTTATTGTTGGATCAGACACGTATGATTTGATCAGTAATACCAGTTTTCACCAAATCCTTCTGAAAAGCTCAGAATTTCTGTTTAAAGTAGCCGTTCCTGCAGGAGAAATCTTATTGGACTCTCTCCTCTCCACTATGAGAGTATCACATTTAGTTTGCCTCGGTTTGTACGACGTGTGTGTTCTGTAATGGTTTCAGCACGCTGATTTGTCCCAATATTGAGGTAACAAATCTCACGGAGGCTTGAAATACTATGTTGAGAAAAATAGACATGTGAACATGAAGATATTACCTTGCGAATTCTACCTAAAACATCATACTAAGGCCTTCATTTCCCACCCTGGCGCCTACCACAGCGGCTCTTTTCGAGGCGTACTTTGGGATTGGGAATGAGAGTTCACATAGTCCATAGTGACGTACTGGTTCAAACTTAAATAAATGCGCCACTCGTTAACGGCCCCGTGCCGCCCGCTGGACCGATTACAAATGTTCTTGAATTTGCACCAGTGGAGGTGCTACGGCGGTTGTCATGACGACAACGATCGCGCAACTGCAGGAGAAGCGTAGTACTGTTATAAAGCGTTGACGGCGTAATTTGGACTCGAAAATTATTTAAATTGATATCTTAATTATGTCTTGACCGTGCTGCAGTGACAACACCCAGCCTCATGAGTAGGTGTAACTAGTCCTGAAGTTTGTTTTATAGCATGACTATAGTATGTTTTTAAATACGCCAAGAAAGCATGCCAAGGTTAAACACTCACTTTATGCGACGTTTGTGCTGCGTAGATGCAATTATTTGATTCAGGTGCATCGAGTTTATTGCAGTTGCAATGGTGTGACGATAACCTTTACTCCAGGTCTGTGGTTATCCTAGTTTGGAAGTTTAACCGAAAAGCAACCTCTGAGGTCTTGCTTAAAGCTGGACTCCGAGTTTTCTGCTCCAAAGCAAGGTTTGCTTTGGTAAACATCCGGTGCATAACGCACAACCTACCAGAAGGCCAGCGCTGAGCGATGCAGAAGTTCTTTGGATGAACGTTTGTTTTTGAGATATTTGATGTCTGCAACTTGCAATAGCCTGGTTCTTCATTATTTGAGGAGCTTTTTTACCCTTTATGAGACTTAATGCAGCCTTACCTTCACTCAACTACGCAGCTGAGACATTCCAAGACAAAGCGACAGGGTATAACACCCAAATTTCATATTTTGATTAAAATTCTTACAGGGGGTTGTCTTATGCCCTGAAACCAAGTGTACAATTTTGAGAAAAGCGGAGCAACGCTGAAAGGGCTAAATGGCCTCGGGTATTTTTGAGAGGCCAGCAAACAAAGACCTCTTAGAGTGCCTATAAGACGACCAATAATTATTCAAATGACACCAAGCTACGCATTGCCTAACTTGCTATGCAGCATTGTATCTTTTGACTCCTTTCGAATTTTTCTTCATTTAATTTTCAAGGCCGTGAAAGCGTGGCCAAGAGCTACGTGACCTATTTTGAGCGTATGGACATTTACAATGTTAATTTTTGCCGCATAAGTTGCGAAGCATTTTTTCTATGACGGGAAGAACTAAGAAAACTGCGTCTTTGTTCCAAAAATCTTACACATTTGTTCCAAACCAGCCATGCGCGGGTATCTTAGCGATTTCTTAAATATCGCTGGAGCAAAAGCCATTGTCGTCAAGCATGTTATTGGTTGGGAAAATGCATCATTTCACCGTATGCTCATGGTACAAGTGTATACGAATGTAATAGGGGTCCCTCCGTTCCCAGCAAAATTGAGCATAAATTGCATTGCGGTAAGATAAAAATAAGCAAGCTAAATCCTAGTCAGGTACAAAATAGCACCGTTCACGTTTCTCATCTTCACACAGGGCCCGGTCGAGTGATCATGGCAGTACCACAAAGTTGCGGAGGAGGGAGGGGGGTGGGACAAGTAGGGCAGCCTGGTGACGCCACTGCGAATGACAGGGAAACGTTGCGTACGTTGTAGCTTTTGATGAATTGGAAGGAAAGCATAGGTCAGCATTTCCGAGTCACAAGCGGATGGTCGATGGGCTGCTTCTCCAGCCCACTTCTCGCACCGCAAAAAAGCTACGAAGGCGAAGAGTTGCATCTTGTCCGGCGGGGTACAAACAAGGAGTGGTTCCGTGTAGATGGGCAGGAAGAGTCGTCAACTAAAAAGGCCATATGACCTCTTGCCGGAGGTCAGAAAAACCTGAGCATTCCTGACGCAAAGAGAATGTAAAACTTTTTTGCGGGTCGAACCGGGTGATCGGGTAAGCGCGACTGTGCAACAGTCCAGCAACTCGATGGAACCACGAACAGAGTGCAAAAAAAGACTTGTCTTGGAGAACTTACGTGAAGTGTATGACGTCCACAAGCAAGAATAAAAGGCTTCTATTGGTTTCTCAACATTTCCTGCACTTCGCACCCGGCATGTATGTGTACATATTACCAAAATTGAACACTGCTCATATCCACTCCCGGCGTTCCTGATTTGAAATATAGTTAACTCCTTAATCACGCTCTATGCGACACAGGAAACTGTGGCCGCATGATGGAGGATTGTGAGGACTGTCAGGTTAGGGAGGAAGTAATGGACTTTCTTAGCTCGACTTTTAATGGATTTGTTATATCCTCTCGGACAACTCAAAAGATAGCGACAAAGAGGGCACAACCACTGATGGTGATATGGATGGTGAGATTCGGCATAAACAGTGGGTGGGTACGGACTTCTGTACGCTACTGGAAATCATCGGTACAAAGGGAGACATCATGAGATCTCTTAGCCAGCAAATCGCAGCAAATTTACCGGACACCACGTTGTAGCTCATGGCAGGGTCTGTGTTTTGTCCACCTAAAGGCTGCTGCCAACGAGGGCGAAGTGGTTGCTCAGGGCGACTTCTCTGAAATTTACCCATTCGTTTTGCAAGACGCGGCACATGGCCTCCACTGGACTGTCCTCAGTGCACTGTGCATCCGTTCGTAGCATGCTGACGGGAGGAACGTGTGCTGCGCCATCGCAGCTACTGTCTCATCTCTGGTGGTACAAAGCATAACAACACTACGGTTCGTGCGTTTTTGCAACGACTTGTACCAGATCTTCGCGCCTATGTGTCCAAGCACAACAGCCTTTATCACATGGACGGCAATGCCGCTAGATACAAAAATAAGTACAACTTCATTCACGTGTGGCACCATGAGGCCGACTTTCGGGTGTCCTGTGGGGAACATTTTTGCCATGTCGCATGGTAAGGAGGCCTGCGGCGGGCACGACTAAGCGTGCATAACGCGAGAGAACCTCAGGCGCACCCAAGATGGCCAAATATGACGGCGGGGGACGTGTTTAGATTTCTGTCGAATAAGCTGGTCAGCAAAATCATGGTCATGTGTACATCTGAAGAGGAGGTGCCGAGCGTCGCGAACCACCACACAGAGCGAATTTTAAAGCCATCACGGTGAAGGGCACACAGAGCCTTCAAAAGTTCTTACCAGTGACATCGATGACCCTGAGGGCTCACCACCTGTCCACCGACGCGGGACATGTGGTAACGGTTGGACAGTATATGTGACTGTGAGCTTTCGGAGACCAAATATGTGGGCGAAAGCCAGCATGTCGAAGGAGTTGACTCGCAGATGAGTGGATCATGTCACGCATTAAGTCGCTGTGTTGCATGATTTTTTCGAGTCAAGTCAGTATACCACGCCATTGCAAACGACTCATGGTGACATGTGATTCGCTGCATGTGCAGCTTACACGCACTGATGCGGGTGCACATGTTTAGAGTCAGATATGAATATGCAAATACAGTTCGTATTGAAAGCTATTTGATATTTTCCCCTCGAGTTAAGTACAATTTGAGTAAACACAAATTTCAAAAGAGCCAAAAGACGCATTAGATTACTGCAAGTTCAATTCTGTACACTTTAGATAAAATTATTCGAGCCACGGATTTTCAAAATTACGCATGTTAGTCGATCTCCTAAAAATGCTGAGGCTACAACTTCTCGGCCGTTGCTCTAATCGTTCTAAAAATGGAACGGCTGAATTAGGGGTATAAGATAATCCCAAACTGATACTTTCAGCGAGATAAAGAAAAAATGGGGTGCTATTTTGACAGCTTCATCTGTTGATTGCTCTTGGAATCGGCGAGCTAACATGTGCTCATTTCAATTGAAGCAACTTCAAGGTCGGCTGCAGAGTTACAGTTATTTAATTTTCCGTCGCCGTGGTGGAAGTTTTTCAGCTATTCCACGCTACGTACTACAGCGCCAAAGCTAGCCGCCATCTTACTGGGTGGTGTTTTTCACGTGCCGACGGCGTCCGCTGGTCGGATCTGGTCCCATACGTGTTATAACTATACGCGCCGGCAGTCTTGGCTGAGAAATATTGTGGGTAGCACGGGGAAAATGCTGTAATACGCAGTACATTCCTATTCAGATTCACCTGGGCAGCAATGTTGGTCAGGGGCGCACCTACAGATTCCGTGGGCTTGCCCCCTCACGAAATGGCAATATTGAAAGACTCGTTTGACTCGGCTGCCTAGAGTCTTAATGACCCTAGCTTGCACTCTGCACTCGAACTGGCCTTCTTCATGGGTAGTGGCTATGACTGCACTCGAGCACAGCAAATGTCCAAAAGTCGTTACATTGGATCTAATACGACAAAGAACATCGCTAACCAAATATCTCAAGCCCCTTTGTGTTTCTCGTCACGTATTACTTAGGGCCAGCAGCCATGTAGCCAAACACAAAGGAACACCACGTGAGGGTGCTTTAAGTGGTGCTTCTCTCGAAAAAGAGAACATGGCGCTAATAAAGCGATGACTGGCACCAAAATTAATGTTCTCGTGCATCAATGTTCTCCATGAAACAAATCACTGAGATGTTGTCATGATTTGACCGCACAAACCATCTCCTAACCTCCAGCTAAGTACAGGTATGCACGGATACTATGTACAGGTTAAATAACCTGATAGTACAAACCATCTCATAACCTCTAACTCTTTCCAGGTTTGAAAACAATGTCCTGCGAGCTCTGTGCGTGCTGATCTACCTCGTCCGGACGTCCCTCTACATGGCCATCGCACTCTACGCTCCCAGCCTCGCTCTCAGCTTCACCACCACTCTGTCCCTGGAGGCCAGCATCATCGGCACGGCAGTCGTCGGCACCCTCTACACCACGTTCGTGAGTTGCATGGCAGCTTGTTCGAGTAGTTCTCGACGGATGTGGGATGCTATTTCACTGCCAAAGCTAAATCATAATTGTTTGCACATGAGGGCGAGTTGGACATAGCAATACATGTGCTCAGTGAGGACTTTGGGCGATAGTGCATGTCCCCTTCGGAATGGGAGGGTCGAGGGACAGGACATGGTTCGCATCCTGATTTCAACCGTGGAAACTGCGGTGTCTCTCTTTCTTGAGTATCATCTATGGTCTCTTGCTTTGTCTGAAAGAAAGCCACACGGCACCACCAAATGCTTCTCTATCCCATGCCGACTAGCGATGCATCGTTTTGTTATTTGACATGGACCTTCAAATTTATGCTTAAGCTGCGCTTGGTTTTTTCAGAGCAGCCCACCAATGGGAATGCAAATTACTGGCGGGAACGCGTGGGGGTACAGGATCCCGGGGCAACGGGCCACTGGGACCCAGCTCATCACAAAAGGGCCCAACCCTCTCCTTCCCAATTTTAGAACAATTCGGTTCTGACCACCATATTTTCAGACAGATCCATTGATCTCGATTTTTCAAAAGGCATGGGCTTGTGAAACAACAGCACTCAGATCTGGTAGCAGTTGTAAACCTTTTTTGACGAGCCGAACGTGCATGGAATTTTGGCTTAAGCTCGAGCATTTGTTGCCGTTGGAACGATTGCCTGATATGTGTACACACCAACTTCTCACAACCGAATAACTGCTTGCCCCATCCGACTCTTATCACCTTTTTCATTACAGAAGCTCAGCTCGTCTTTCTTTGCCCAATTTGTCACACGGAAGGCGTGCATTTTTTTATTTTTCTTCAGTGCCTGGCGCCGTTTCAATAATAGCCTGACACGCGTTTCCAAATTTTCTAACTTATACCCAGCTTTCACCAACGTAATAACGCCTGAGGTGGTCTGTGACCCATTTTTATTTTGGTGTCATTTTATATAGCCACAACAATTTGAGTAGTATCTGCACCTTTGTGCACCTCTTAAAGTACCAAACTATTCAAACTGGAATTGGGTCTCTATGGGTATCGTTAACCTTTCCAATAGCGGCCACAACAAATCACCTATATCTTTCAGAACCTTATGTGCCCTAAAATTTGGGTAAAAACGTGGAAACCGGCAACGCCGTTTTAAAAGCAGGATTCCGCCCAAAACATTAAGACCAGAATTGACTTATGTATGGGTGTCATTAGCATTTTCAAGGGTCATAGCACATCACAGATTTATGTGGCCGCACCCGGATTCCGCCAGTCGGTCCGTCAGTCTGGGCATCCAGTTTTGCCGCATTTGCGCATTCCATCAGAGTAGAGTATGGCTCTGAAAGCTTCATTTTCGACACAAAACCGTGTTTCGGTTTTTGTATTCCTTTGTGACATTTTTTCTTCGCGCTGTGCGATTCAAAAACAGCCCTTCAAAAAAGGCCCTGGAAGCTTCAAGGTTAAAAGCCTTGTAAAAGAGACAACCTGGACTTACCGTACCTCCGACTTGGACTCTCATAGGCCCTGCTTTGGACACATCGCAACCCCAGGTTCAAGACAAACGGTCCATGAGATTTTCCGGGGCCAAGGGGTGTGGTCCCCCAAACCCCATGGGATCTTCAGCCATGCCCTGAGCGTTTAGCGTGCCCTGAGAAGCCAGAGAGGTACATCGGTCGCTGGGGGTTCCTTGGTGGCTAGAGCGTCCATTGCTGGCTTACCAGGCCCCTGAACGGCAAGCGGCTGACTGAACAAAGAGCCCTGGACGTTTACTCATCTACTGGGCGTCCAGAGGTCTTCAAAAAGGTTGGAAAGACACACAAGACACCGAAAAGGCCCAGGAGCAGCCAAAAGGGCTCCTGAGCGATAAGAGTGGCGAAGAGCATCCTGAGCACATAATAGCACTTTCGGGTGTACAGAGGGTCGCGCGTGCACTGCTAAATGGCCCTGGCGACCAAACGGGCCGCTGTACGAGCTAGTGGATCCCGAGTGGCCGGATGAACACTTACGTGGCCAAAAGGGTCCCTTGAGCAATCAAAGGTGCCCATTGGCGACTGAAGTGGCCCTGGGCAGCCAGAGAAGCCCCTGAGCAGGGAGAGAAGAATGTTACCGGTCAGGAACTCCTCAGTAGCCATAGGGGCTCTTCAATGCCCCAAAAGGCCCTGAGCAAATAAAACGGCCCATCAGCTACAATAGAGGCCGTGAATACCAAGGACCCTGAGCACACAATGCGATGCTGGAGCCGCAAAACCGCCCTTGGGTAGCCGCGAGATCCCCTTGGTGTTATGAAGTGATTTTGAAAGGCGAGAGGCCACCAATGGACCTTCAAGCGACCAGTGCGCCCCCACTGGCCAGAAATGACCCAACGAACGGCCAGAGGGGCTCGGAGCTGCCATATGGCGTCCGCTGAGCATGTAGGGGGGACTAATGTGCTACTGCCTGATCTTCTAATCTACTAAATAAACTCATGCAGTGTTTCTCATTCAAAACACTCATTTTTATTCGAGCTATGTGAGACGAAGGAAGTCTTCCCTAAGGATCCTTGGACATCAGACCCCTAACCTTTTGATTTGTCGCGGCCATGGAGTCCTCCACTCGACCCCCACGGGATCTCTAGCTATCACACATGTCGCGGCGAGCGTTTGCCCGCGAAGTGCTTCCCCATGTTGAAGCATGCCGACTTACAGCTTGGCGTCTCGTCCCACAGGGTCTGAAGGTCATAATCTGGCATCTGGTTCTCAGGGAGGTCTGAAGGCCGTGGTCTGGGCTGATGTTCTGCAAGCTATCGTCATGGCCGCTGGAATGGTGGCCATCATCATCCAGGGCGCCATCAACGTGGGAGGCTTCACCAATATCTTTTATATCAACGCAGAACACCAGAGAATGACATTCTTTGACTTTACCCTCAACCCTTGGCAAAGGTAATGACTGTCTCGTGGAGCACACCACAAAGTTACGGCACATGATGCTTACGCATCAGTGTCGTTGCCACAGTACCCAGTTGTTAAAATCATATCGGCATGCAGCTGTCCACGCTTATCCGACGGGGGGGGGGGGGTCCGCAGCGGGAAAGCCATGAGAACTGTGTGTTGAGAAATGAGAACAACGCCAGGTCGCCAACGCTTAGCCCGCATACATCAGTGCCGTGTCCCCCTCCGCACCCCTCCCCCGTCCAAAGTGCAACATAGGACAGCTTGTGACTTTCCATCCATTTATACTAAAAAGCTACAGATAACTGCAGGAATATGCCCTGGGCAAGCACTCGAAACGTCTGGTGGATGTTTGCGAGTAATGGGACAACCGCCACACCGCTTTCAGGCACAACTTCTGGAACCTGTTCTTCGGCACTCTGTTTCTTTGGACGACCGTGTTCGGCGTAAATCAAAGCTCCATACAGCGCTACCTTAGTCTGCCTACCCTCAGGGCCGCCAAAGTGTGAGTCAGTATCTGCCGGACCTGGACACAAGTTGCAACTGTCAACGAAAGTTTTGCCGTATAAGGTTCCACGCCGGTATAGTATGTATTTGGTGTTCCACTGCACTGGATAGTTCAGTAGGGCAGTGGAGTGGGGCAGGGGTGTTCTTTTCCTTAGAAACAAGTAAGAAAGTAGTTTAAGTCGTTGACGATTGCTTCTGACAGTTTTAATAACGCCAATTTACATCAATAACGAAACAAATGATACAACTGAATGCCAAGTCTTGCCCAGCACTTGCACCTCCAGTCGTTCAAATGTCAATGCAACATGTTAAGTCGTCTGTTGCAGGGCGTGTCTTCTTAATGCTCCGGCCATTATTCTGTACATTACGCTGGCATGCCTGACCGGCCTTGCCATCTTCGCCACGTACGCCGACTGCGACCCGCTCAAGATGGGTCTCATTGAGAAGAAGGATCAGGTGCGGGCGGTACAGTGACTCCAACAGCACCTTCTGACACATTTGAACGCGCAGCTCAGGCTTGCACGCGACGCACAGTCGGATTCATTCCGTTTGAATCGCAACCATCACATGTTACAACTTGCAGATTGTCGACTAAACCGTGCATACCTCACTAACAGGCCAAAGTGTTCAGATGAACCCAAATGGACTAAGTGAGATAAAAAATCGTGCCTGGATTCAGTTGGCAGAAATTTGTACCCCCCTCACATTCCCATTGTCCCCAACGATTCATGGCGTATCTTTTTCCATGCGGTTTCTCCGCAGTCTGAAATATTTCTGCACAGTTTTATCCTCACCACGGACCCAAAGAAAGGCCAATCGCCTGGTAGTACCAACGCTGCGACAGGTTGTTAGTTCGCGAGGTTATGGCTTAAGACAGGAAGGCCCATGGCATGGTTTGCATCTTCAGCAGAAGCTTAGTGAGCGAGCGACGATGATTTCAAATGTGGCGTCATGCGGTTGTTCATCTTTGTGATTATTATGATTATTTTAAGGCATGTTTTTCGTTAGTCGTCTTCCCAACGCTGGAATCATGCAGAGACGCCGATTACGGCATGTAATACTGCATCGGAGCACAACATATCGGAGCGCTTCTCAACAGGGGCACAGAAGTGAGGAAGGCTATGCATAATCTAAATAATGATGTACAGTAAGAATGGAAATTCCACATGGCAAGCTGACACAAACGCTGTTGGCAAACCAATCTGCACGCGTCACAAAAGCAAAGATATGTTCAACTGCCGCGCCAGGGTTAAAAAAATAACTGATGTTTCAGCTGGTGCCCTACTTCGTGTTGGACCAGATGTCCTACATCACGGGTCTGCCGGGCCTCTTTGTGGCCTGCATCATGTCTGGAGCGCTCAGCACTATCTCGTCCGGCCTCAACTCGCTAGCAGCCATCACCTGGCAGGACTTCCTCAGCAACATCAGCTTCTTCAAAGACATGTCGGAAGTCAGGCAGTCGTGGACAACACGCCTTATTAGTAAGAGCCTATTTACTGCCTGCGAAGCATCGTGCGAATATGTAAAATCAAGGGGCGTTGTTTCACACGTCCGCGGGCAGTTCAACCAAACAAGGGGGAACTTTGTGGAAATGTTTAATTGTCATCATGAGTATGATATCAGTAAAAATTAGTTAATCGGCATTAACCCGCATAGTCATCCGTAACCAAAGTATTTTACACTAACTACAGTGCCACAAGGTCAGCCACAACAAGCTCCACTCGACTATGAACTTGTATGAGACGTTTGCAAGAACTGGAATGAGACTGCGTCGCCAGTACAGAACTGTTAGACATGACATTAGCATTGCCTCGTTGTCACTTCGTACGAGTGCATCGTGCAATGTTTTCTGTTACAGGTTTATTGTACGGCTGTCTGGCTATTGGCTTGGCCTTTATGGTCAGCCAACTGGGAGGAGTGCTCCAGGCGTCGCTGGCCATTAATGGAGCCCTCAGCGGTCCAATTCTGGGCGTCTTCTGTCTGGGGATATTTGTGCCGTTTTCCAATGGCAAGGTAGGCAACCATGTCCCTGACCTAATGTCATAAAACGAAACTACGACAAACGTGCCCCTAAATCGTGCTTTGCCTCACAGGTCAGAGAAAGGTCAACTTTAAATCCGTTTTCGAATGGCAAGGTGAGTAACCATGTCCCTGATCTAATGCCACAAAACGAAACTACGGCTAATGTGAGTCTGAATCGTGCTTGTCATACGGGTCGGAGATAGGTCAACTATGAATCGGTTTTCGAATGGCGCAAGTCATTCGCGCACACGGCGTACGCGTGAAGCTAAACAGCGGGTCACACCGGGAGCGGAGCGGGTGAACGGAACGGGAACGAAACGGAACGGAGCGTAAAAACTATTAAATCCTTATGTAGCTGGTCGACCGGTCTGGAAACAGCGTTAAGTCTGGCAACAGCGGGCGTACGCTCATCACTGAGCGCTGGCTCAGCGACTCGCGGTCCCATCCGCTGTTGGCAAACAATGATGTGCATTGAGAAAATTATATCTGGTGTTGACAAAGGTATAGCTACCAATGGCTCATCAAACTTAACGAATTGTGACATTTGCTATGTTTATCTCTAACCTTTTGGTCAGAAATTCTGCCACGATGGGGAGTTGTAACTTTATTTGTTGACTGACTTAAAGTTGATTACAAATAACACAGATCAAGGTGTGCCCATTCATTATCGGAACCAAAGGCTTAGGACCTGGGGAGGGGACTTTTGGTGGCCTTGGTAGCAATAGTAATCATAAGAATTGTTTCCAGGCACTCAGGTGTGAAGACCACATACCAGACCACTAGAAATATAGAGAAAAATACACGAATCGGATCCATACTGAAAAGCAAAAATGATCAACATGACACTGATGTCAAACATGAGGCACGTACATTCAAAGAAAAGTTAATCAACGTGCCATTAATCTGCTAAACAACTTCTATCAATGAATCATAAGCAAAACCAAGGACTTGGGACAAAGGGAGCTTGAGCACCATTGGTAACGTTATTTTCAAGCGCCGCAGATGTGAAAATCGCATACTAGACCATCCAAAATTTAAATTAAAAAACGCACGAATTAGACCGACATTGTAAAGCTAAGCTGCCTGTAATGATGCCGATGGTAAATATTACGCACAGTTATTAGCAACACGCATAGAACCCATGTTGTTCCTTTGAGTGCCAATGAAATAAAGGAAACAGTTTCAAATGAATTAATATTGCTCGCCTTTGTCGACAACTTTAAGCTATCATTTAACCACTATCAAAACCAAAAAATTTGGTGGTGGATGTAGAAATCGATAAAAAACTGGGAAAACACAATACTTGGGGAGCACGTTTCGGGGCGTATGCACCATTGGTGATCACGAGCATTGTTTTTAAACACTGAGGGTGTGAAAACCACATACTAGACCGTTGAAAAGCGTGGATAAAAAGCATGAATGTAACGCAAGCTGAAAAGCAAACATGACAGTAGTGATACTGATGGCAAATATTAGGCAGGACCATTAATAACAGGTATTGAATCACCGTTGACTCTTTAAGTGTCAGTGCAATAAATGACACAGCTACAAATGAATGCATGCTACTCACCTTTGACGACAGATACAAATGAATGTATCTTGTTCACCTGTGATATCATCTCCATTGTACCTATGTCCGTGACGTTGGTGGTTTGTTCAACGATTTATTCAGCGACGAGATCCGATTTCTCTGAAAACGTGCTATATGATAAACTGCGGCACGAGAGCATCGAAAATGACATTTCATTGAAATTTACCCGTATTTTTTGATGTCATGGAACTCATCATTCTTTGAGCGTAAATTTGATCTCCAAAGGTGACCTCGAACTTTCGGGATTGTTTACGGACGCGAAATACTGTGTCGAGTATTCTGATTCACAAAAGTTTTACATCAGCCCGTATTTTCTTCGTGATATTGAGTTTTTCGTGAGTTGACCTTGATATCATCTTGAAAGTCACGTGATATTGCAAAATGAACGGTATCGTCGATGTTTTCATGCATCATTGACCATCTGACGTGCTATCAGAGAAATCAGAACCCGTCGCAACATAAATCGCTGAATAAATCATCCAGTTCACGGACATCTACGTGTGCTGCGAATTCTGACCGAAGGCTTTCCTTTTTGTGTTGTCTTCATATGACTTGTGTGCCACATCCTGCACCCATCGATACATTTTGATAGGTTTCACAAGTTGCGCAATCTGTTTCGTCGCTCCAAAGTGGCATCTTAAATGATCGATGAAGACAAGTCAAACGCTCAGCATAAGAAAGCTCTAGCAGATTAAAAAGGCCCATGTATCAGGCACCACATTTACAAAATATTAATAATCCTATAGGTATTTACTTAGGCGGCACATTTTGTCTCCGCAGAGATTAATAGCTGGAAACAGCACTATTGTTGCTGTCAAAAGCTGGACAGGCTATTCAGTGAATTTTCACAATGCAGATTGTACCTGAAAATGTATTACTTCCAAATGTATGACAACATGTGCGAAACGATCAGTGCATTCATGTTGGCCGAATGCCAGTAATAGGATTAAACAGTGTCAAGAGTTATGAAGTGTACAGTGAGTCCAAGGTTCAAACACACCCGAACACTCTACTTCTCACTCAGGAGTGTTAACTAGGTAGGCCCTAGGTACTTTTAATGGACCACCTAAGTCAAGAACCTGTCATACAGGGAATGTCTTATATTTGAGGATCATGAGGCAAGCATCAGATATGATTAGGTAAGCTCAATTATAAAGATTTGTGTGCTTTTAAGTAGAAGAACTGCTCTAGACTACACAATTTCTCTCTCCATTAAACATGTTATACAATCGGTCATTGTCTAGTAATGTCATCGCACCTTGGATGACATTAATTGGGTTAATTGGCGGATGTTTTATCTGGAAGCCGTGCTCACCAACGCCAGAGATCAACGACTCGACAATTGTTTTGTCTTGGCTGTAATCCCCGCACGGCTCATAAGATGGCAGCGTTTTAACGACGGATTATGGCGTCATGAATGCCTGGATCATGATCTTGAAACAGTGCCCCCGACATAGCCTGCACATCTCCGCGGGCGTAGAGCTCAAGAACAGGTGGGTTTAGGTCTTAAGAAGGGCAGGGATGTCAACTGCTCCGAATGATTTTCAAGATCGCCGTGTCAATATAAAACCCGGTTCAAATATTGAACACTCCCTTTAATACAAAACTTAGCATGCTATTGTAGATTAGGTGCACCAATATTGACTGCATTGCTAATACCATGCAACATTTGGCCTAGGTATGTTTTCAGGGCTATGGTGCCTAGCTAATTATGCCTGAAATTTAGTTCAACTGATCGCAAGGCAAGCACAAATTTACCTGTGGAATGCAACAAAAGCCGTATCTCCGTGGCAAATGGGCAAAATGCGATAAGCATAGCTCCCTGCAAAGTTCATGCCCCTCAACAATTTCAATGCCAATAGAGTGCCACTGACATACAAAGGCTATGGGGTCTACGTGGACCGTATCACTGCATTGACACACCCGTTTCGTGAAGAAACATTGAATTTACCTCACAACTCGCTGAAAAGTGTCGTACTGCGTAACCAGCCATACCAGACCTCCAATGGGAGAAAGCTTTTTCAAAGCAAACTTGATTTGGCCCTTGAACGTAACTGTGTTAGAGACGACTGGAACAGTGAATGGAATAATTTACAAGAACAGAATTCACTGCAAACGAGATATTCGCCACCCTGTGTTCGCTACTTTATCGGTCTCAAATTGTACCACTCCTGTTCGCGCTCTGCTTGCGTTCCGTTCAAAAAGATAAATAGAACCCATCTTTTCAACATAGCCCAATCCCACCGAGCGGAGCGGGTCTCCGACGTACTGTTACGTCCTCACACTGCGAACGTAGAAAGATACGAGTTCCATCCACCGGGCAATTCACATGCACAGCATGCGACGACCTGGGCGGTCGAGCGCACGGCCGACTGGGGCTGACCTAGCATCGTGTCGTTCCGGCAGGGTGCGGTGGTCGGTATGCTGACCGCCGGCGCCATCAGCACGTGGGTGGTGTTCGGCGCCTACGGCTCGGGAAAGCGACCCGAGCCGCTGCCCACCTCCATCGCCGGCTGCACCGGCAACATGACGTCGCTTGTCTCGTCCACCACGCCGCCACCCATTGACACCAGTCCAGTGCCAGCAGTGGAAGAGGATGAAAGGTATGGTGCTGACACAGATTCCCGGCGGCTTGAGAGTTTGGGTTGATTGCTGTTTGGGTGAATGCATATTCATGCCATTAGGATCTGGCTCAAAATATAACGAGACTTACCACGCTCCCTAATTACGAAGCGGCTTGTTTTGTTAGCTTAAAAAGAAGGCATCTACTGATTAGGCGGTGTTCACCAAACAAATCAGGCTACCTTTAAGCATAATTTCGCCTCGTTTTTAAGGCTAAGGCAACTGACACTCAATCTCACTCTCAATCAAACTATCCCACTCTCAATCAAGCTATCTCACTCTCAATAAAGTTATCTCACTCTCAATAAAGTTATCCCACTCTCAATAAAGCTATCTCACTCTCACTCTCACTCTCACTCTCACGCTCACTTTCACTTTCACTCTCACGCTCGCTCCACGAGCAAGACGCAATGACGCCAAAACATAAAAGGTATGCATCCTTCAGCCCGCTATTTTTTTTCAGCTTTCTCCACCAATACTTTTACGGCATCTCGTACCAGTTGTACAACATGATCGGCTGCCTCATGTGCGTCATCATCGGCTCCATCGTCAGCCTGTTAACAGGTCTGTACGGACAACTGCGATGCACCTGACATTGCTTCTTCGATTTGTTTGTGATCGAATTTTGATAAAGCTAGTCTCATTTTTCGTAAATTTCTGAGGGCCCAAGTTCAGTCTGCCTTGTAATACATTATTCAGACAGCAACACAGGTAGATAATGGTTCGCAGGTATGGGGAAGCTTGCGAAGTGCGAGTGGTCTATAGCCAAAACGGGTAGACCAGCAGTAGTGTCTGTTGCGAACCAGATGTGTTCTCAGTTGTTACTCGATGCTGCTCGACCGGTTCCATCACACAGAAACAGCAAAAAGCCGTCGGTGACATCACAGCTTGCATTTCTTTGCTGACCTGACCTTTTTTAGCACGAATCTGTGACACTTGTATCTAAATCACCATTCACTCTCAGGATGCAATCGACGGGAGGTGAGCGAATCGCTGGTGAACCCCCTCGCTTACAAGCTCTTCAACTGGATCAACCGCTTCACACGTGACGATTCCTCCGACCCGCGATATGCCGCCGACAACCCCATCTTCACCATGCCCACGTACAAGCAGACTGAGGCGAACTGATATCATTTCGTTGTTGAATCACATGTGATGTCACTAACCAACCGAACAAAAGCCCGTTGGCCAGCCGCGAAAGTGTGCGACTAACCTGGCAGATGGCAGCACCATCTCCCACGCGAGCGCCGGCACCGCGCGGACTTAACGCGGATGGCTGGCCATGTACATCCAGCGTGCACGCTATTGGTATTCTACGAATCCACAACGGCGTGCAAGTTCCGCGAGAGCCAACACGCCGCGTGCGATGTGTGGGCACCTGCGGACGATGTGCTCTGCCATGCCGTGGTTGGCCTGGCAGGAAGGATGATGCGTTTGGGTGTAGCGGCTGGTACTCGTGGTGGTCGGCTGTGTGTGTGTGTGATTGCTTGTCATTAAACGATGTTCGCACAAAAACTGGCGTCTGTGGTGGAAATGGGAGGCGTTCGAGCATGGTTGTGAGAATAAACAAAGTGGCTAGTGATTCGGCGATTGGGAAACACATGGCGTGTTTCATTACAGCGTACAGGTAATCACATCTGTGACCAGGTCTTTCGAGCACCGCAGCTTTCTTCACAAACTCATTTAGGAGTATGCAGAGGGAAGAAGCAATTGTTGGCTGCCAGCTTGGAATGGGATCGAATATCGATTTTATGGATGATGCGGATTCGAGTGTTCATGATTCAGATAACTTAAAACGATGAACCCCACCACTTACGACCATTCCTGACGAAGTCGCTTCACACCGAAGAACATGGTACCCTGTTCCCCTGCCTTGTCTTGAGCGTAACTTTAAGCTTGTTCCTCTTACAAACATTCAATTGACTTAAAGGGAATATTTTACCTGTGAAGATAGTGAAGCAGCCATCAACTGATGGAACAAGACCGCTCCTTGCAGCACAATTCTCTGCTCAGTAAATATGCTCCTCAATGCGTCATGGTTTCATTACGTCATCGCATATTGACCAACATTGGTTAAGAGCCGATGGCGGCCGTTGTACCTGGAAATCGCACTCACGAGCGCCAGATAAGAACGCCTTGACAATTATGTTTGTCTTGGGTTTTTTATTTGAAGTATCCACTCTCGCACCAGAAATCACATCTGACTCCCTGCTCACCATGATGAAAGCAGTACATTTTATTTGCCTTGCTTTTTCAACGCATGCACTTTTCAATCATTGCAACATGCTACTGTGCCAAAACTTTTGGGTAAGAAATGCCATGAAAGCTTGAATCACTCTGTTTAGGTAAAAACATATGTGAATATAAAGCCATGATCTCGTGAATTCAACGAAACTTAATATTGCAGCTTTGTGGTTTCACCTCTATGGCGTTTACCACAGTGGCTCTTTTCGAGGCGCATTTGGGCCTTGAGAATGGGAGTGGTCCATAGCGACACACCGGTTCAAACTTCAACCAGTACGTCTCTCGGTAACAGGCCGTTGCCGCCTGCTAAGCCAATAACAAACTTGTTTTTAATTCGCACCCGGAGGCCTGTCATCCCCGTGTATCGCCATACGTTTGTTTTAAGTGCCACGAACGCGTGGCGCAGAAGACACAAAATAATGTCGCCAGCCTTGACTCGCGTCGCTGGCGCCGTTTGCATTTGCTCCGTCCACCCTATTGATGTGCTGTGGGGATTAAAGCCTTTTTGAAGTGTGTTACGCACGATGCCGTTTGTGTGTACGGTAGCCTTATGTAAACCTGTAGGTAATGTTAAAGGCGTCAGGGTTTCCCTTTTCGTGATTCTAGTGTAAGGTGGCATTGGGCCGCTAGTTGCAGCAAGTGGTGAGTGCCTTGCATTGGCACTCAGTATTTGTATATACGAGTGCCTTGTATATCTGTTGTCTAGCACTATATTTGTGTATGGGTTATGTTTTTATACCTGTATTTGCAAAGATATGTACCAACCTGGTGGTGCAGAATACACCATATTGATGTTATCACGTTAAAAAGCTGATAACCCCTTTCACTCAATCCCGACATTGCTTGGATAAGTAGCCCCTATTTTTCCATAGATCACCTTTTAGGTGTTCCTTCACTTCCTCTCTTGCCTTAACAGCATGGTTGGCGAAGGTTCGAGCCGCCAGCTGTTTCCTTGCTGGGTCTGCCAGCAAGGTCCTTGCTTTGGTTCCAAGTAAGTTGGACAATTATTTTCGATGACGGCGGTGCTTTTCTAGCAGTAGCAGACTGCAAGATAATCATTGCTTGTTAGGCCTGCATGGAAAAAGTGGATTTTGCCAAAAAGTTGTGATGTTTAGGCTACTTTGATTTGCACCCCTGATGTTGAAATTACAATCGGCAAAAGAGATTGCTAAGTTCCGACGTTGTTCTGATGTTGAGAAATGACATCCAATTTAAGGCTGACATGGTTTTGGCAATTATGATTTATGGTGCCGATGATGATATGGCAGTGGTCATAATAAAGGTCAAGTCAGAAGTGTGGGGACAGGCCCCTTTAAAGTGTGCACGAAGGCATTCCTCATAAATGATGAAGTTCCCAATAAGTCATATTACTATCATCAGTGCCTATAAACTTGCGTGTTCAGAAATTAAATGCTGCCAAACTATTCTTTGCCTTGGGTCGCGTTTCATTTCAACTACTGTGTTACTGGTGGGCAAACACAAACCCCGCCCACTGGGATGCTAGGCTGCTTCATGCCAGCTACTGACTACTGGAAAGCGTTACATTAGCTGCGCATCTGTACCCATCAAATTTGGGAAGAAAAATAAGCTCGTGAGCTTAGAAGCAGTCGCCTACCATCAAGTCGCAAGCTTAAAAAAGAATAATGTCCCGCTGTGTCCTATGTCCCTAGTAGCCCACACATTATCTTTAAAAAACAAAGCACTAGCATGACGTCGCCTGCGCTGCGCGCCGTCATGTTCATGGACGCCCCGCCGACTACCGAGATGTTAAAACGTTTTGCCAGCTCAGTGGTCGACAGGTGTGACGTCAGACCCCCCGCGTCACGAATCCATCATGGCCGCCCGACCAATCACGGAACAGGATTTCGACTATTGGTAGCACGATAGCTACGATGAAACACGGTCTTGCTTTTCGTTCCATGCAGTACAAAAACAAGACCATATTTTTCCTTGTGTGAAAGCATTTCGAGGCGTAAAATATCAGCATTACATTAATGACTGCTAGCAAACCTCACAATGCTGCAAATATCTATGGATCGGGCTGGAAGGCAATCCCATTTAATCAGATATCATGGTTCTTTGGAACTAGATCCTATGCATTGACCTATAAAAGACTAGACAAACTTCTCGACTTTACAAAACGTGCCGCCCGGCAACGCTGTAGAAAGGCAAGCGTTTTTCTGCGGCGCTTAGCAACCATTGGAACTGCCATGCGCGGTCGTTTCGCGGTGCCGTATGGAGCGAAAATGACGAGAAGCTGCTCTGCGATCGGGTGTAGTAAGAGGCATGGTGATCGGCCAAGACATGGAGATAGCTTGTCATTCCACAAGTAAGTATTTTTGAGCTTGATCGTGCATAAACTGGTGATTTTTTTGTATGCGGGTCTGCGCCATGACTGTCAACCTGCGCATTTGTTGGTAATCGACGTAGAGATAGAGAGTTACCTCCTTAATTTTTTTGCTCTGATACGCTGTGTGATTTCCTGCTATCATCTAGGCATTTTATCACAACTGATGCCAGTTGCGTCCACCTGTAGGATAATAAATATGCATGTTGGCAAGTAGGAAGATGGAATGAAGAACATCTAAGAACCAGAAGGAAAATGCCTTTCAAGGACGGGCGACATTAATGTTTATCACTTCTGAAAGGCTGTCGTGTGCTATTCAACACTGATGGGGTGCTGGTACGGCATTGATATTGCATTTGCTTCCTTTGGAGTGGAAAATAGCACATAAGCATGCTATTTGCATGGTTAATAGAGCTCATGAGACAAGACTAACCTGGCCAAGACAAGACGTAAACTAGACAGTGAAAACCACTCCTTGTCATGTGATTTTAGGATAATGACAGAGTCAAACGAGTGTCTTGAAGCAGCTGGATGTTTTAGCTCTTTGCACTCCAAGGAATCCTTGTAACGGTTAAAACTGTACCAAATGCAACATTTTGTAATCCAGTTCAAGCTCAGCTAACAACTGAACTTGTGTATACTTCATGGAGCCCAGAATTCAGGCTAAGCCCTCACAGTAAAAAAATGGTGTACAAAACACCTTAAAAAATCGTTATTGCTAGCTTGGGCCAAGCACGTTGCTTGCCGCACCACAGATTTAGAGGACTGACTGATTGACAGGTATGTGACAAAATGCTTTTTATTGTCATCGTATTGTATATAGAGCTAAATGAAGGTGCTAGAGGTGTTCACAAATGTCCCGTGCATCTGCTGACAACAAAATTGTATGACTTTCATCCTAGATTCTGTTGATTGAGACTGTGCTGGGAAGTGAGAGGCCCACACCGGTGATATCCGAATTTCAACTTTCCAGACACTGTCTAAGTGCGCAAATTCACATCGAAATTGTTGTCAGGTTGCCTCGCTATTGTCTTAAGGGAATATACAATGAAATTTCAGCCTGCAGCTTGCAAAAGTACTCTGGATGCCCTCAAAGAAATACGAATCGTCGATACCGAGCTTCTCGAGGAGATCCGATCTCGATTTGAAAACCCAATCGTGTCAGCGCTTTTCACCAACGAAGTTGTCGATGGTGGCAGGAAGAAGCAAAGTGGCCAGAGGTATTCAAAAGAAATGAAGAAGCTCTGCCTCACCTTCCACTCCTATTCCCCGAGAGCATATAGGTTCCTCTCAAAGAACTTCTCTCTGCCGGGTGTAACATCGCTACGAGAGTGGACGAGAAGCGTCAGCTGTGAGGTGGGCGTCCTCCACGAGGTGCCACAGACGCTGTGCTATGAAGTGACAGCCAAGAAAATCGACCCCAACTGCTGCTTGATGGTTGATGAGATGGCGATCCGGAAGGCGAAGGTGTACTGGCAACCCAAAGACAAGTTCGTTGGTCATGTTGATCTGGGTGCAGGGGACGTGGACACAAGAGTGGCAACAAATGCCCTAGTGTTCATGGCCGTTGGTCTCAAAGGTGTGTGGCGCCATCCTGTCTCCTACTTTCTCACAGACCACATTTCAAGTGAGACTCAGACAGAACTGGCCAAGACTGTCCTGTGCGCTTTGAGCGATGCAGGACTGAAGGTGCGAGCGTTCGTGGCCGATGGACTCCAAGCCAACCTGTCCATGTTCGGCCACTTGGGCGCTCAGAATCTGCAGCCAAAACAACTTCAGCTTCCCATTGTTCCTAACTACTTCCTGCATCCTGCAAGCAACCAGAGGGTGTATGTTATGCTGGATGTGGTGCACATGCTGAAACTGCTGCGAAACCTCCTTGGTGAATACAAGAGCTTTCAACTGGATGGTGAAGGGGTATCCTGGAAGTATATTCAGGTAAGGGTATGCCAAATTTAGTAGTAATTGTAATAATAAATGATTTAGTAGTAATTGTAATAATAAATGATTTAGTAGTAATTGTAATAACAAATGATTCAGTAGTAATTGTAATAATAAATGATTTAGTAGTAATTCAGTCCCAGCAAAACCAAGTATAATGCTAAAAGACTACTTTTTACTTAAGTATCACTCTGTTTTTCTGCATACATCTATCGCATCATCCGTGAAGTTCGCGTCTAGATGCATGGGTAGAGACTTGAGGGACTTAACTTAATCTGAGAGCACGGCGATACTCTTACACTAATGACTGAACCTGTTCAGCTCGTTTTCAGTATTCTGCAGCCAAGGTAAGATAACGACTGCGAATACCTTCACAGGCGCTGTACGACCTGCAGCACAGCGAGGGTATCCGGGCGGCCAACAAGCTCTCTCGCCTGCACGTCCAGTACGAAAAGAACAAAATGAAAGTTAAGCTTGCTGCCCAGCTGTTCAGCAGCTCGGTGGGCAAAGCTCTGCTGTACCTAGAAGAGTCGGGCCACTATGACTTCATTGGAGCGGGGGCAACGGCGCGCTTCGTCCTGCTTGTTGATCAAGCATTCGACTACCTCAACGGCAGCAACCCCCACGGGAAGAGCTTCAAGACTCCTGCAACTGCCAGCAACTTGACGTGAGTTAAATTAATTAGCATTAAGAACAACCTGATGAATCGAAAGTGTGTGTTTTCTTTCCCCTAAGAAAATACATTAGGATTGCCAAATACCAGCTATCACATACACAGCATCAACAATCATGCTAGTGAAACGTTCTTTGAAAATGACGTTGGCATATGGCGTGATGTGCTTTTGTGTTTCATCGCCCGTTATCCCCATAGGCAGATTAAGCGATAGGAGCAAAATATCTCAAAGTGAAATGTGGGGCAAAAGTATGCCTTATCTCCCTGCAGCTGGCCACTCATGTCTTATGCTCCCCCACCCCCACCCCATCCCCCCCTTCCAATCACCAGGCGAAATTGGCCATTCAGGTATGTATGAGCAATCCCCACCCCGGTCGCTGATCAAGAACGCGTGAACTGCCCGCTCCCCCGCAAGCAAAATGTAACGACTGGGCGACCTCTGGTCATCAGCAGTTCATTTTGAACATTATGTTGTGAGGGCGGTTTGTGGCCGAGCAATTGCTTCAGTAAAGGCTATAGATGTCGCTGTTATTCCTTTTTGAGTGTGCTGACTGATAACCATTTCCGCTAGGCTCCGACGCGAGTTTTTGGCCGACTTCAGTTCCGTGCTGTTCCGGCTGCAGACAGCATCAGGCGAACCGGTACTGTAGACGCGACGCTTCGCCCCGGCCCTGGGTCTCTATCTCGCGACGCAGACCGTCATGGACGTCAGTGAGGCCCTGCTGGAGGAGGGGTTCGTCCATGTACTGCCATACAGGATGTCCCAAGACCATCTAGAGCTGCTGTTCGGCCAGATCCGACGTATGGGCGGCTTCAACAACAACCCAAACGTGGCCCAACTGCAACATGCCATGCGCAGACTCATACTGCACAACTTCATATCGCCATCTGCCACCGGGAGCTGCACGTCACGGGATGACGGTGACGACGGCCTGCTCCAGATCCGTCGTCCAAAACGGCAGCGGCCGACGCTCAGCGAGAGTGACGCCATGCCGGCGGTCGTGCAGCATCTCCTCACGACGGAGGACACCGGCTCGGGGCTCGTTGGCAACTGTGTTGGCCACATCTCCGGGTATGTGTGCCGCCAGCTGGTGGAAACGAGCGCGATCGGGTGTGGTGAGTGCATTGGTGCACTTCTGTGCAACGAGGACGACCCTCCGTCGCATGAAGTGATGGGTCTCGTAAAAGTGCGGGACAACGGCGGGCTGCTCATCCTGTCAGCGTCGACGTACGCGATCGTCACGCCAGCTGAACGGCATTTGGCCGTTTTGCATAAGTGTGGTAAGATGGACCGAGCGAACCTGTCACTGAGTATCCAGTGCAGTGTCCTGGCGCAGTTAACGACTGAACGCAGCCACGAACTGTTCCCTGGTGTGGAAGACCACATGTTCGAGCCGCCGGCGGATGAGTGTCATGCTGTGGTAATGGCAAAGCAGATCGTGGCCAGGTATCTGCGTGTCCGCCTCCATGCCTATGGACAAAATGCTACAGTGAGTGGAATGCTCCGCACCCATGTGAAGCACAACCTGTACAAGCAGATGCTCTTTGCGCACCAGTAGTCAAATACATCAGTAAATACCTGTTCTGGTGACCGCAAGTAGATTTACTAGTTACATAGTTGTGGGGCTGTAAGGTGTGTGGACATGCAAGTCCTGCGCGTTAGCATTGTTAGTAGTACGGTGTGCATACTCTGAACAACATAATATACTATGCGTAGCTTTGGGGCTGTAATGTGTGTCGACGTGTAAATCCTGTGCATTAACGTTGTCAATAGTACAGTGTACATATTTTGAATAACATGATATACTATGCGCATATCTCGGTGCCTACACAGCTCGCAGGAGTACCGAGCCGACGGTGCTGGACATAGCTTATATTCTTGTAACGTACCAAATCGAGACATGAGCTCTGGTCTTATCTGAGTGTGGATGGGGACAGACCTATTCTCTCACGCAGGTGAACAGCATGCATGCGGTGCGTACAAAGCGATAACCATAGCCTGAACTCCAGCAACCCACCGGGGCAGTTACTTCGCCCATAAACGAAGACGTAAGAATGTCCTCCATCTCCCAACAGACTGATGCAAATGATGACACCGGCGTCGGTCGGAGTGCCGCCAGCGAAAATATTCGCGCTTTCCAACGATTTTGGGTCGTCGATCCGACCTGGGAGAACCCAACTGTCGGACACATTTAAAGCTGGATACAGTTGACTAACCTTCATGACAATTATCTTGCTCGGCTTTGCTTCTGACTGTCTCAAGCCGAAGCCACAAGCCAGGAGAGGGTGATACGACTGACCCGGCCCCTCTGCCCGCTGGAATGTTGCAAAGGACCACATACGGATGAGGGTTAAGAACAACTGCTTCCAGCGTTATCGTTGTGGCATATTTTCTGTCTTAGAAGGACGATCTGTTTTCCTCTGAGACCAGATATTACCCTGCCCCCCCCCCCCATTTTTGCTATGACGCAAAATTGCAAAATCAGTATATCTATATTAATCTGTCAAGCCGCTACCCATGCCCTTGGAGCAACCTTTGCCGTGCCGTATTGCGTAAAGTTGATGTCTTAAACAGCCCCAGAATTTTCAAGGCTCTCGCTCCCATCATTTCCAAAGTACACGCCTCCGAAGGCCGGCCATCCGCCATAGGATTATCATTGCGAAGCTAACTCTTGCCCCTCTCCGCGTGGTAGCGCTAGTGTCGCAAGACGGGAACAATCGGGCGGTCGCCGCGCCAATGGGAGTAGGATGTCTAGACTTGTATAGGTCAATGATCCCATGTCACATCAAATTGCTATCACCGCATTATCCTTCTTCGGTATACAAGTGTCCATAAGTAACATTATGTGATGGAAAAGAAATCATTCCCATAAAAGTGATCAGATATGGATTTTTGCAGCTGTTCCATCACATGCTTTGAAGTCCAGGCCCAATAATTTGCTGCATGAGTCCAATTATATCAAAGGCATCATGAAGGCTAGTTCTTCCCTTGAGAATTGATAAGGACTACATCACTGGGAGTTGGTTTCCTTTTGTTGTTTTTTTTATCTGCCAGAGGCTGTGATAAAATTGGCGGGGACAGGCGCCTGACGGAGAGGCATGAAAAGAGGGCGCTGGTGTCTTTACAGTGAAAAGAACCGTCAGAACGACTGGGTTGCTGTGCAGAGATGTTGGGACAAATATATGTGCCAACATGCCACAAGTCATCAGTATTGTGATTTGCGCATGCTGTTTAGAAAACGGATGCTGCGACCAGGTCTTTTATTTATGCCCCGTTATTGGTGTTGTTAGAATAAGAACATCGTGTGGCTGCACTTGGCAATGATGAAATAATGCTGGGACGTTTTATTCGTGCATAAATAACGATGCTCTGTTTGAGTTAGACGTTATTTAGCCATTTTGCAACTGTTGCTTTCCTTTCCATGGCTGTCATGTTAAAACTTCTTCATTTTTGAATATCATAAAATATGCATTTTAAACAGGAAATGACCGGAGTGGTAGCTATTTACGCAGCATGTTCAAACTCGACTTTCTTAGCCTGCCCATGGATATTGAATGTGTTTCAAATGTCAGAGAAGGTTGTGACAAACAACAGGCTTTGATCACTCCCGGCCCATTCTGACCTGTAGATGGCTCATTATTGACTGTGGCGGGGCCCATTCTGGCCCTTAGAGCGGTCATTCTGGCCTTAAAGGGAATGCTCCACATTTGCATGGCGTTTTGAACTGAAATAGCCATCTTGAGGACACTTTGATGCAGTTCACGGATATGTCTTTTTTAGGACCCAAAACGCTCTGGTTCCGGAGTTACACGCTCGCGAAGTACAAAAAGGCTTATTTACAGTCAACTTCAAAATCGCCTTCTGCTTATTGACGCCATAAAAATGGCATTAGATCCCCGTGACATTACAGGCTTTTTTTGTTTATGGTTAAAACAGCATGGCTGCTGACACATTCACAAAGGCGATGATGCTGTACATGCGGTACAGTCTGCGGAAGATGATTGGCTGTCAGTAAAATTTTGCTGCTGAATACGTGTCGCGAACACAAGCGTGAGCAATTTTGGGTTGTGCGACACTCGTCGTGAACGGGTCATTTTCCTTATTTCTAGGCCACAGGCCAATATAATAAAAAAGAACGCCATTGTCTGCAAAAAAAGGTACGGCACCCCCAAAAAATGGGCATTCTCCCAAAGTTATAAAAAAGACGCGATGGCAAATCTGTCTTTTTCTCCTGATAGCTGTTTTTTCTTCTACTAACGTATCTCTTACAGACAGCTTGGTCGGCGCCTTGTGTACCGGAGCACAGAACCTTGCACGGGGTTATGGGTTAGCAAGGCATTATTAAATTGGGGAAACATTACAGTAATTTAAGACATATATTTATCTAAGTATTTCACACATAGGGTACGACAAATTTAAATATTGAACACAAAATTGTGTTTTACAAGAAGAACCTCTTGAGCCCCGTTACCATGAACCCCCGTTGGGATTTTGTTTTGAAGGGGGTGACGGTGAAGTCCGGTGTTGTGACTGGAGATCTGTGCGGAAATTGTGAGAAAACCTGCAATTTGATTGTCCCGGGAGCTGTGCAAATATGAGATCACACTTATTTGACAAGAGTGTGAATCGGGGGCCCCGGTGCGTGTGATCACTGGTGGTGTGTGCCAGTGGCTTGCATTGGTATTGATGTGATGGGGAGTGTGCGTGCGAGGTTTGTTCTTCTGAGAGAGGACATTGTTTCGGTATTCTTTAGTCTGCTGACTCCTAACACGATGTGATATATTGATGCCTGATATACGGATGCCTATTGATATTGATGCCTGCCTCTACCTTTATGTTTGTGTTTGAACATGATAAAGGAATGCTGGCGAAGTGAGAGAAACGCTAATACTTATATTGCAAGGGTGTACAGAGGCAAGTACTGGTACTGGTACTTCATTATAATCTTGCCAATATTGTAAACCTATTGAGGTATTACAGCATGTAATTAATCCACTGCATGTCATATCAGCAATTCATTTTGGCAGTAGGGACTGGTGTGTGCAGCTCATTAATGGACATGCTCAGTGCAGGCTCACATATGGCTTTGCAAAATTGTCTTTCCTTAAAGAATTCTGAAAATATAGAGCTTTATTGTTACTGATGCACATTGCACTGTCTTTACAAATATTGTATGCAGGCGAGCATTGGTCCTGAGTAATCAATGTCATAGCCACTACAACTTGCGTGGGATGCTGTGTGCTGAGAAAGGTGGAGCAGTATTGCTGTTGGTTGGTTGGTTGGAGCAGTATATTGTTGGACAGCACTTAATAAAATGTTTATCATGAGCCTGGTGTACACTGGCAGCTTCATCACTTCCTTGCATCTTGTCCATCCAACCATAACTACATGCATTTGTCATGTCTCCAGCCTTGTGCAAGGTCAGTATGTTTGCAGTGTCATTTCATCACATGTAAAAATGTTCTCTTATTCTTTAGTAAAGCAGCCTGATGGCTGCAGTATGTTGCATGACCATGGAAGTGAAAGCTGTGTTTGCATCTTTCTCACCTGCGTTTTCTGGATTGCCGAAGTAGGCTGAGCAAGTGATGCCACTTTTTGGTCGTCTGCTTTGCTGAAAGTCATTTGCATATTGTATGAGTTTTTGGCCAG